CTTTGAGGAAAGTTTCAGGAAGATTGTCCCAGCCATCTCCGAGAAACAGCCTGGATAAAAAAAACATGCGTACAATATCAATATGTCGTCCCCGACTTCGTTCGGGGCGACATAATAACTCCTGAATTTTTCTCATCAATAACTCCTGAATTTTCCCCTTCAATTCGAGCATTTCTGCATTGCAGAGAGCTGATGTGTGTTATGAGATGATAAATCATGTGTGAACTTTCTCAGTTTAGCGGAATCATGAACATTTTCGGCGAGATGAATGTTTTGTATACAGTGGTGATCAAGGCTTTGCGAACCATCAGGAGCGGATCAAAGAATTTATGAATGAATAAAAACTATGGAAATGACGTACCAATTTTTTAATTTATACTTGCACTATCTAATGAAATGAATAATATACAAGTGATAGATATACAAGAAAACGCGAAATGATAATAAATGCAGCTGACAATCGTTATTTTTTTTTATATAGATAAAATAAAATATTTATAAATTCAAGAGACAAAACAGAAGGAGAATGAATGATGGCAAAATATCACATGACGGGAACTGAATTTTATGAATGAAGATTTTAAAAAGTTACTTGTAAGTTGTATATGTTATATCTGTGTATTCTACTTGGCTGTGTGCTTCAAAAAAAAGGGGGGGGGTCGTCTTGAACATAGTAAATAGCCATAACGTTTGAACGGTAAGTACTAGGGCTTTCGTATTTCAAATATGTAATCCTTGTGAAAAGAACTTTTATTGGATACGACGAACTTTGACCCTTTGACCTAGACCTTGGAGAACACATGTGTACATCTGAATCTTTTTTTCTGTTTCGTTTCTATGGCAACCGTGAGCGACTCATTACAATTATTTTGAAAGTAGAAATCACTTTGACACATTGCAAGGAATAAACATTGAAAGTTTCAAAACGATTGCCTGAGTAGTTATTGAGAAAATCGAAATTAAAGAATTTTTACTTTCACCCGGTTTCCATGGCAATAATCGATTATATGAAAATTTTAAATACGAGTTGCAGAACTACAGATACTAATGCTTAAAATAAGAAAAAATAATCGATTATATGAAAATTTTATACAGATTTATGCTTAAAATAAGAAAAGTTTCTGAACGTTTACCAGAGAGAACACTCACAAAATTTGCACAGGTTTCCATGGCTACCATCGGACCAGTACAACCAGTGATCGTCCTTTGAATAAGAAACAGAGTAAAAACAGAGTATGTTCCCCAACTTCGTTTGGGGAACATAACTAGATGAGATCTCGTTGCGAGCAACGAGTAGGTCTTCCGTTGAATTTCTCGATAAGATGAGATGTGATTTTGACTGAGATATTAGTTAAAAGAGAATGACATTAAGTTTTTCTTCATTAAATTTAAAGTTTCTGATTTTTATCACGATATTCTGAACATCTTTTGTTCACTATAGCTTATAAAAATGCTCCCCCTTTTCGAGACGTAAAGCATAAAAAATATAGCATTTTGGCCCCTTGCAACCCTTATTACGTAAGATATGACTAAACTTTTATAATATATTGTTGCAAATCATTAAGATGAATACTTTTGCTTCAGTAATACGTCATAAAATATTGATCATTAGAGAGTTATAGATAAAAGACTTTTGACCCCTCTGAACCCCTAAATTGAGGGGTCAGCCCTTTTTTTTCTTGGTATCAAATGAAAGGTCTTGTGAATTTGAAGATATTTTGCTCAGTATTTATTCAGAGATATTTATTCGTTGTGGAGATATGCTGAATGGAAACATTTAGGGGCCTCCCTTACAAGTCCTTAACGGGGCCATTTTACAAAAATTCAAAGTATGCATATTGTTTAGAACATTATTCTGACCATCTTTTGTTCAATATTGCTTATCAAAATTTTCCCCCTTTTCGAGATATGAAGCGTCAAAGATTTAGCATTCTGGCCCCTTGTTACCCCTAATTACGTAATATATGATCAAAATTTTATCATATATTGTTGCAATTTGTTAAGATTAATACTTTTGCTACAGTAATGTATAACAAAATATTAATCATTAGAGAATTATTGAATAAAAGACTTTTGGCCCTCTGAGCCCCTAATTTGAGGGGTCAGCCCTATTTTCTTGGTATCAAATGAAAGGTCTTGTGATTTTAAAGATATTTTGCTCAGTATTTATTCAGAGATTTCTATTCATTGTGGAGATATGCTAAATGGAGATATTTAGGGGCTACCCCTACAAGTCCTTAACGGGGCCGTTTTACAAAAATTCAAAGTATACATATTGTTTAGAACATTATTCTGACCATCTTTTGTTCAATATTGCATATTGAAATATTCCCCCTTTTTGAGATATAAATCGTCAAAGATTTGACATTCTGGCCCCTTGTGACCCCTAATTACGGAACATATGATCAAAATTGTATCATATATTGTTGCAAATCATTAAGATGAATACTTTTGCTTCAGTAATCCATAACAAAATATTGATTACTATAAAGTTATAGATAAAAGATTTTTGCCCCCTCTGAGCCCCTAATTTGAGGGGTCAGCCCCATTTTCTTGGTATCAAATGAAAGGTCTTGTGATTTTAAAGATATTTTGTTCAGTATTTATTCAGAGATTTTTATTCGTTGTGGAGATATGCTGAATGGAAATATTTAGGGGCCAATCCTAAAAGTCCTAAACGGGGCTGTTTTACAAAAATTCAAAGTATGCATATTGTTTAGAACATTATTCTGACCATCTTTTGTTCAATATCGCTTATCAAAATATTCCCCCTTTTTGAGATATAAAGCGTCAAAAATTTGACATTCTGGCCCCTTGTGACCCCTAATTACGTAACATATGATCCGAATTTTTTCATATATTGTTGCAAATTGTTAAGATAAATACTTTTGCTTCAGTAATGTATCACAAAATATTGATCATTAGAGAGTTATAAATAAAAGACTTTTAGCCCCTCTGAGCCCCTAATTTGAGGGGTCAGCCCCTTTTTCTTGATATCGAATGAAAGGTCTTGTGATTTCAAAGACTTTTGTTTAACACCAATTCAGAGATTTCTTTTCGTTTTGGAGATATGCTGAATGGAAATATTTAGGGGCCACCCCTACAAGTCCTTAATGGGGCCATTTTACAAAAATTCAAAGTAGGCATATTGTATAGAATGTTATTTTGACCGTCTTTTGTTCAATATTGCTTATCAAAATATTCCTACTTTTTGAGATATAAATCGTCAAAGATTTGACATTCTGGCCCCTTGTGACCCCTAATTACGTAACATATGATGAAAATATTATCATATATTGTTGCAAATCGTTCAGATAAATACTTTTGCTTCAGTAATGTATAACAGAATATTGATCATTAGGGAGTTATAGATAAAAGAATTTTGGCCCCTCTGAGCCCCTAATTTGAAGGGTCAGCCCCTTTTTCTTGATATCAAATGAAAGGTCTTATGATTTTGAAGATTTTTTGTTCAACACTTATTCAGAGATTTCTATTCGTTGTGGAGATATGCTTAACGGAAATATTTAGGGGCCACTCCTACAAGTCCTTAATGGGGCCGTTTTACAAAAATTCAAAGTATGCATATTATTAAAAACATTATTCTGACCATCTTTTGTTCAATATTGCTTATCAAAATATCCCCCCTTTTCGAGATATAAAGCGTCAAAGATGTGACATTCTGGCCCCTTGTGACCCCTAATTACGTAACATATTATCAAAATAGTATCATTTATTGTTGCAAATCGTTAAGATGAATACTTTTGCTTCTGTAATTTATAACAAAATATTGATCATAAGAGAATTATAGATAAAAGACTTTTGGCCCCTCTGAGCCCCTAATTTGAGGGGTCAGCCCCTATCTCTTGATATTAAATGAAAGGTCTTGTGATTTTGAAGATTTTTTATTCAACACTTATTCAGAGATTTCTATTCGTTGTGGAGCTATGCTAAATGAAAATATTTAAGGGCCACTCCTACAAGTCCTTAATGGGGCCGTTTTACAAAAATTAAAAGTATGCATATTGTTTAGAACATTATTCTGACCATCTTTTGTTCAATATTGCTTATCAAAATATTCCCCCTTTTCGAGTTATAAAGCGTCAAAGATGTGACATTCTGGCCCCTTGTGACCCCTAATTACGCAAGATATGCTTAAAAGTTTATAATATATTATTCCAAATGGTCTAAAATTAAATAATATCGAAAATTCGAGCAGAAAAAATGATAAAATTTTTTGGTCATTTGGGGGATCGAACCCGGGTCGCCCGCGTGACAATCCAACGCGCTAACCATTTAGCCATTGGGATCGCCGCTTCGCGTTTTCAAATGCAAATATCTATAGATTGGCTTTTTCGATTTTCAAACAAATTACATATTTCGCTTCTGCAAAAGGGTCTCTATTCAAATGAAAAACAAAAATATTAAAAAAGAAAAGTTGAAAAATTGCGTTTTTTAAATTCGCTTCCGGTATCGACCGGAAGTACTGACGACGCACGAAAAGGCAATTCTGCAACGCTATTGATCATGAACTATCATCTCCAATTAATCTTCACTTCATATCTTAAGCAGTTTTCGCTAAGTAATCAAGACAAAATTGCATTTTAAAATTAGAAAATTGGCCATATCTCACGACCGGAAGTGACGACGTCAACGAAAAAAATTTCCAATAAGGTTCAGATCAGAACCTATCAGATGTCAAAGTTTCATGAGAATCGGTCTGGTAGTTTACGAGAAATCGCGTGCACAAAATCGGTAAGAATAATAATAATAATAATAACAGGGAAAAAGAAACCGAAGAATAACAAGAAGGTCTTCCGTTGGAGACGGAAGACCTTAATAATAAGAAACAGAGTAAAAACAATATGTTCCCCAACTTCGTTTGGGGAACATAATTATTCAGACAGCTTATTCAGATAGCGGAGTAAAACAAACCTTTATCATAATGAAAGTAACTAATTCGGGGGGAATAAAAAGGAAACAATTCTGTGTTCTTTTTACAGACTCGATTCCGACAGATTCCTTTCCATTGTCGGGGTGCCAGAGGAAATGCCGTTGTGACGAAACAAATGGCTTTGAAGGACCTGATCCCTGCAATTGTCAACATAAATCCTATATTCTACCATCAAGAAAGTCTCGTAATGAAAACATAAAAGATTCAAATACATCTAGGTAATCCAAGTGTATTGGCAAAATTTAAAATTGACATTTCACATACAAAACAGTGTCTGTTGTCAGAGTTACAATGGAAATATTTTTTTACAGACAGGGCATTGAATTTAAACAATATTTTACATGCTAAGTGGTTACAATTTTCATATCAAATTCACGTGAATGGCTTAAACCTAGAAATAAAGATGATAATTAAACTAAGTTCATCAACTCTGATATCAAAGAATTTAAAATATAGACCAATAGGCTCCAAAGGTAACTGGAGTGACTTCTTCATCAGCAAATTTGGTATCTATTTGATTCTTAAAAGGCAATGTTAAACTGGGCTATTTTATATAGCCCCAATCTCCTCGGGGTGGGGGTATATTATTAAACAGAATTATTTCCCGTGTATTCCTTAGTAAAACATCATACGCCACCGTCCTATATACATTACAAGTATTCAAGAAGTGATGTAACACTTTAAAAAAAAAAAACTTTTAAAATTTGAAATCATTCACCACGATAAATTAAAGTCCAGGCTTTTTGACATCATCTCATTCTCCACGATAAATTATACAGTGTAGTGGTTACTCCTCCTACAGTTTTGGTCTGATTTCAATATAACTTGGCACACAAGTAGACTACACTAAGATACATAATTCTGTGTATCGGTTTTTGATTTCGAAGAACGGTGTTGTCGTGGTTATTAAAAATAGAAATTTCTGTGAAATTGTTTCAAAATGCTACTCCTCCTACAGTTTTGGTCTGATTTCATTATAACTTGGCACACAAGTAGACTACACTAAGATACACAATTCTGTGTATCTGGTTTAGACTTCGATGAATGGTGTTGCCGTAGTTACTAAAATAGAAATTTCCTTGAAAAACATTCAAAATTCTACCCCTTCTACAGTTTTCGATGAACGGTGGTGCCGTGGTTACTAAAAATAGAAATTTTTCTGACATTGTTTCAAAATGCTACTCCTCCTACAGTTTTAGACTGATTTCATTATAACTTGGCACACAAGTGGACTACACTAAGATACATAATTCTGTTTATCGGTTTTGATTTCGATGAATGGTGTTGCCGTGGTTACTAAAAATAGAAATTTCTGTGAAATTGTTTCAAAATGCTACTCCTCCTACAGTTTTGGTCTGATTTCAATATAACTTGGCACACAAGTAGACTACACTAAGATGCACAAATCGGTGTATTAGTTTTTGATTTTAATTTTGCACACAAGTAGACTCCACTAAGATACACAATTCTGTTTATCATTTTTTAGCTCACCTCAACGAAGTTGGGGGGAGCTTATGTGATACCCTCGGCGTCGGCGTCGGTGTCGGTGTCGGCGTCGGCGTCCCAGGTTAAGGTTAAGTTTTTTGGAGCAGTTTTCTTTTTAATTACTTCTGTGTCCTATACTGATTAGACATGCATGGAAGATGGTTTTAGTGTGTTTTATTGTACCAGACAAAGTTTCAGATGCTGCAATTTCAGCAAAGGAATTACCAGGTTAATGTTTTTGGAGCAGGTTAACATTTTTGGTGCAGTTTTTGGTGTGGGTTTCATTTCCAAGTAACTATAAGCCCTATGTTGACCAAACTTGCATGGATGATACATCTAAGGATGCATACTACCGGGCTTGCTTCGGATGCTGAATCTGACCTACATTTTCCGGTTGAGTGAACAGGTTAAAGTTTTTGGTGTAGGTTTCATTTCCAATTAACTATAAGCCCTATGTTGATCAAACTTGCATGGATGATACATCTAAGGATGCATACTACCGGGCTTGCTTCGGATGCTGAATCTGACCTACATTTTCCGGTTGAGTGAACAGGTTAAAGTTTTTGGTGAGGGTTTCATTTCCAAGTAACTATAAGCCCTATGTTGACCAAACTTGCATGGATGATACATCTAAGGATGCATACTACCGGGCTTGCTTCGGATGCTGAATCTGACCTACATTTTCCGGTTGAGTGAACAGGTTAAAATTTTGGTGCAGGTTTCATTTCCAAGTAACTATAAGCCCTATGTTGACCAAACTTGCATGGATGATACATCTAAGGATGCATACTACCGGGCTTGCTTCGGATGCTGAATCTGACCTACATTTTCCAGTTGAGTGAACAGGTTAATGTTGTTGGTGCAGGTTTCATTTGCAAGTAACTTTAAGCCCTATGTTGACCAAACTTGCATGGATGATACATCTAAGGATGCATACTACCGGGCTTGCTTCGGATGCTGAATCTGACCTACATTTTCCAGTTGAGCAAACAGGTTAATGTTGGTGCAGGTTTCATTTGCAAGTAACTTTAAGCCCTATGTTGACCAAACTTGCATGGATGATACATCTAAGGATGCACACTACCAGGCTTGCTTCGGATGCTGAATCTGACCTACATTTTCCGGTTGAGTGATTAGTTAAAAGTTTTTGGTGCAGGTTTCATTTCCAAGGAACTATGAGTTCTTTAATGACCAATCTTGCATAGATGATACATCTAAGGATGCATACTTCCAGGCTTGTTTCGGATGCTGAATCTGACCTACTTTTTGTGGATGAGTGAAAATGTTAGTTTTGATGCACGTTTCATTTCCAATAAACTATGAGCCCTATAATGAGCAAACTTGCATGGATGATACATCTAAGGATGCACACTAATGGACTTGCTTCGGATGCTGAATTGGACATACATTTTTCAGATAATAGACAAGGTAAAAGTTATGGTTGCAGGTCTATTACCAAAAACTATAAGGCTAATATAACATTGTATAAACCAAACTTGCACAAATGCTGCATCAAGAGATGAAAACTCTCAAATTTGCTTCAGATGCTGGATTTTCATTACATTTTCATGAAGAAGAAGTAGTTTAAATTTGTTATGTAGGTCTATTTCAAAGTATCAGATCAAAATTGCTTTTAAAAATATTTTCATTTTTGGAATGTATACTTTTTGTTGGTTAATTGTGTGACTTTGCCTTCCTTAAAGACAACATTTGTTGAGGTGAGCTCTGTAATCTCTGATTACCTATGTTTTATTTCGATGAACATTATTGCCTTGGTTACTAAAAATAGAAGTTTCTGTAAAATACTATCAAAATGCTACCCCAAATACAGTTTCAGTCTGATTATAATATAATGTGGCAAATAAATAGACTACACTAAGAACATAGAGACTTAATCAAGGATCATTATTCTATTTATTGCTGTTGTAAAGTTTCAATTCCCAACTGCTACTTTTCTCTTCCTTTTCTATAAGTACAAACCAGGAGAGCGTCAGTCTCGACAGAGACTTCTGGTTTTTAGCTCTACTGGTTAGAGACCAGAAGAGCTTATGCGATAGTAAGGTGTCCGTCATCCGTCCGTCTGTCTGTAAACAATTTTTCAAAATGCTACTCCTCCTACAGTTTTGGTCTGATTATATAATGACTTGGCACACAAGAAGACTACACTAAGATACATAGAATAGTGCATCGGTTTTTGATTTCGATGAACAATGTTACCTTGGTTACTAAAAGTAGAATTTTCTGTGAAATTCCTTTAAAACGCTAATCCTCCTACAGTTTTGGTCTGATTTCAGTATTACTTGGCACACAAGTAGACTACACTAAGATACAAAAAAAAGTGCATCGGATTTTGATTTCGATGAACGGTGTTGCCATGGTTAGTTGGTTACTAAAAATAAAATTTTCTGTGAAATAACTTTAAAATGCTACTACTTCTACAGTTTTGGTCTGATTTCAATGTTACTTGGCACACAAGTAGACTACACTAAGATACATAGTGCATCGGTTTTTGATTTCGATGAACGGTGTTGCCATGGTTACTAAAAATAGAATTTTCTATGAAATAACTTTAAAATGCTGCTCCTTCTACAGTTTTGGTCTGATTTCAATATAACTTGGCACACAAGTAGACTACACTAAGATACATAGAAAAGTGCATTGGTTTTTGATTTCGATGAATGGTGTTGCCATGGTTACTAAAAATAGAATTTTTTGTGAAATTCCTTTAAAATGCTACTCCTCCTACAGTTTTGGTCTGATTTCCAAATTACTTAACACAAGTAGACTACACTAAGATACATAGAATAGTGCATCGGATTTTGATTTCAATGAACAGTGTTGCCATGGTTAGTTGGTTACTAAAAATAGAATTTTCTGTGAAATAACTTTTAAACGCTACTCCTTCTACAGTTTTGGTCTGATTTCAATATAACTTGGCACACAAGACTACACTTAGATATAGAGAATAGTGCATCGGTTTTTGATTTCGATGAACAGTGTTGCCATGGTTATTTAAAATAGAATTTTCTGTGAAATTCCTTTAAACGCTACTCCTCCTACAATTTTGGTCTGATTTATATATAACTTGGCACACAAGTAGACTACACTAAGGTACATAATATAGTGAATCGGTTTTTGATTTCGATGAACGGTGTTGCCTTTGTTACTAAAGATAGAAATATCCGTGAAATTCCTTTAAAACGCTACCCCTTCTACAGTTTTGGTCTGATGGCAATGGCTTCTTTTCTCATCCTTTGTTATAAGTACAAACCAGTAGAGCTAGTCTCGACAGAGACTTCTGGTTGTATTCTTATGTAAAATAAATTTATTTATTTATTTTTTAAATTTGTGTTGAATGACATTCTAATTTCTTTTAATTTCTAGCACGAGTGAAAATTTTAAAGAAGAAAAGAAGCAAACCAAGACCGACAGATTTCTCAATAATACTACCGGAGAAGACAACAAAATTTATTTAAAGTAAGAATTGTTGAATTACTATAAGTTCTTTGTAATGCCAAGATAGTATTATCTAAAATTTCATAAATGAGTTCTAATATCTGAGAGAGAGAGAGAGAGAGAGAGAGAGAGAGAGAGAGAGAGAGAGAGAGAGAGAGAGAGAGAGTGAGAGAGAGAGAGAGAGCACGTCTTTTCCTTTTAAAAAAAACAACATTGTTTATGCAAAGCTAAGATTTAAAAAAAAATCAAATGTCTTGTAAGTAAATAAATATCTAAATATCTTTCATAATTCATAAAATAATTTTTCTTACCAGTCGTAAGCATGACACCCCCGACACTTTGTTGATAGTGGGAGGGATATCTCTGGCCTCGGTCCTGGTCGCCAATATAATACTAGTTGTAGTTTGTTACAAAAGAGGAAAATGCAAAGGAAAAACACTGGATCCGACCTCCACAACACTGACATGCTTTTACCAAGGTTTTAATTCATAATAGACATCAAAGATCTTTTAAAATGAATAAATAAAAGTATTTTGTACCTGAAATCTTTGGATATAAAATAATTTTCAAAAAGTCAAAGAGTGATTTTTTTTTTCAGCACCGCCTAATACGGAGAGAACTCAGCGACCGGAAGCACGAGTTCCTCCTTATAGATACGAAGGTATAATAAGATACATTTTCATCAAACCATCTACCTATAATTTGATAAATACCTTGACCCGAAAATTGAAATGTTACCTCATTTTTTCATAAATATCTTTTGGACAATTTTATTGTCGCATTTTACAGAAGCAGAATCCAGTAATGAAAGGTCCCAACCACTCCTCGTCCCAGATGATAATACCATGAATACGCTTCCAGTCAGTCAGTCAGGTATATTAAGACATAATTACCGTATAAGTGGAAATTTTAGCGAGACGCAAATTTAGCGATTTCTACCTGGTATTTTATTCGTAACGAGAAATAATTTTAGCGATTTCAAAATGCTAGCTAAAGAAGCTATTACAAATAATACGCAATTAAGTTTTAGCGATATTCAATTTTAGTGATGTCAGCACCCTCGCTAATAATGCCAAAATTAAATCCTCGCTAAAAATTCTACTTATACGGTATATTAGTTAAAAAACGAGTGTCATCCGTATAAATATATCAGTGAAGTTCCATCCTTAAACTTTCCTTATATACTTATCTTCGTTTCTCTGTTTCAATGTAGGTCGAGACCAGATCTATTCTCGTCCAATTAACATACAAGGTGGGTCAATCAATAACGTCAAGTAAACTAAAGTGATTTTCTTTATTTCTTGTATAATAAGTTTCATAGTTTAAGAAAGTCATTGAACTGGTGATATAAAATATTTGTTTATTCGTATTGTATAGATAATCACGAATCCGGCTTTGGTACGGGTTCCAATTATGGCCCTCACACAATTAACGTGCAAGGTAGGTCAATCAAATAAAGTCATGTAATCCACTGATAAACTAAGTGTTTTTGTGGAGTTTTTTTTTTCTTTTCATAGTTTAAGAAAAAAAATGAATTAGTGATTAATAAAAAAATATTTGTTATTTGTATTGTATATACTAGATCATCAAGAACCCACCTTGGAAACGCTTTCCACCCTTGACCCACAAACAATTAACGAAGCAAGTTCACAGTGGAATGGCCTTGATGAATACAGGGTTCCCGGTGTTCGTTTTGAAGACCGGTATCACTCATCGAACTACTATCGTCTTTCTGATTAACAGACTGAAAATTTTTGATTTACTAAACTGTATTGACTGTCATTTTGTGGAGAAACTATTGGCATCTTAAAGTTTGATCATACATCAACATGTTGATCCTTCCAAGAGATCTGATACTGTTGTATTAATTGACGAACATGAGCGGTAATTGAAAATATTCATGAAGCTGTGAAGCGAGGCGTTCAGCCAGGCCACATTCTGTAGAGACTTAAACTAACAAATTTTGTTGGAGACGATAAAACACGAAAAGTCAGTACTTGGTTTATTGTGGTCCACACATGTACTAAACCATGCACCTGAGAATTAATTCTGTTACATCTCTTAAAAGGTACATAAAATGATTCACAGTTACATTATAAACAAAACTACAAATTTTGAGAGGAAGAGGGTGGGAACAAATCAGACACATGAGTCAGATCATGTACTTATTGGTCTGGAGGAAGTAAAATTACTATCGAGATCTAAAAGTATTGAAATCTTATTTTAACAAACATGAAGCAAAAAGGATTCCCTGCAATTTTTTTCAAAATCATTTATGCCTCCCCCTCCCCCCCCCCCTTAAAAAATTGATCTCACTGAAAAGAAAAGTTTAATAGCTTGTGAATCAAATGAGCATATTGGAGACTAAGTATGAAGATGGACAGCGATCGATGAAATGAAGATAACAAACTTGATCGAAAGTTCATATCAACTCATCACGAGCAAAGCCACCACAAGCCCCTGAGAACAAAGATTGGATCGGGGGCCATGAAGGAGTAAGCATCCTCTGTCAACTTGTGATATCTATCGTCTGCTCCTTATGTTTGCAAACATAACCAGTATATCGAAATCTGATTGTAAATGAGATTGTTAAATTTTTTGTATTATCAGTGCCAGTTTTTATGAAATTGTTCTTACTAGAATATGCTTTTACATAGAGAGTAAATGGAAAGATCATAACTCTAAATGCAGTTGATAATGTAAATTGCGGCATTTACAAGGGAAGTTAACGATAGAAAAAAATGGTCATCAGCTTTAATAAATTTTATTGTTAGTTTGGAATCGGTGTCTTTATCTAATAAAATCGTATATAAGAAGTGAAGAAAACTCTGTGTGTGTTTTATTTCGAGTGCAGTTGGATTTACCACTTCAAATAGGAATGAAAACAACTGTTTTTTGCCAAAACGTTGACAATATGTCGAATTATAGGTCACAGTAAAGGACCATTTTCATGTAGATTTTTTTCTTCAAAAAATTCTGCCTCATAGGTCTGTTAATAACAGGGTACAATAAGTAGCCATGGAAATTCAACAGAATGAAGATGGTCTCCAAAACCCTACTCGTTTGTAAAATTTTAATGACTCTAACAAAATAAGATTGCAGATGGCCAATGGAAAAGTATGCAGGGTTCCATTTTTAGCTCACCTGAGCCGAAGGCTCAAATGAGCTTTTCTGATCACATTTTGTCCGGCGTCTGTCTGTCTGTCCGTCTGTCTGTCCGTCCGTCTGTCTGTCCGTAAACTTTTCACATTTTCGACTTCTTCTCAAGAACCACTGGGCCAATTTCAACCAAACTTGCCACAAAGCATCCTTAGGTGAAGGGGATTCAAGTTTGTTCAAATGAAGGGCCACGCCCTTATTCAAGGGGAGATAATTGGGAATTAATGAAAATTTGGTGGTATGTTTTAAAAATATTCTTCTCCAGAACCACTGTGCCTTGAAAGATGAAACTTATGGGGAAACATCCTCAGGAAGTGTAGATTCAAATTTGTTCAATTCATGACCCCCGGGGGTAGGGCGTGGCCACAATGGCCGACCAAAGTTTTACATAGAAATATATAGGAAAATTCTTTAAAAAGCTTCTTCCCAAGAATGACAAAGCCATAATTCATCATATTTATTTGGAAGCATGCTCAGGTAGTGTAGATTCAAGTTTGTTCAAATCCTGACCCCCGGGGGTAGGGCGGGGCCAAAATGGCCGACGAAAGTTTTACACAGAAATATATAGGAAAATTCTTTAAAAATCTTCTTCTCAAGAATGACAAAGCCATTATTCATCATATTTATATGGAAGCATGCTCAGGTAGTGTAGATTCAATTTTGTTCAAATCATGACCCCCGGGGGTAGGGCGGGGCCAAAATGGCCGATCAAAGTTTTACATAGAAATATATAGGAAAATTCTTTAAAAATCCTCTTCTCAAGAATAACAAAGCCATAAATCATCATATATATATGAAAGCATGCTCAGGTAGTGTATGATGATATAAACAATAGAACAGATTTTTTTAAACGTACTAAAGACTGGATAAGTAAATACACAGAAAGTTTTGAAAATATGCTGATATGCGGCGATCTGAACTGTGTGTCGGACAACAATAATGATAAAAGTACTCTTTCTTTAAAACAACTTTTGAATAAGTTAAATTTGCATGATTTGTGGAAAACTATAAAAAGTGATAAACAAGGGTATACTTGGTGTAATGGAGAAAATACTCCAACAAGTAGAATTGACTATATTTTACTTTCAAATACTTTTTGTTATCAATGTAAAACTATAAGACTCCAAAACATTCCTGGTTCACATTCAAATGGAACAAGAATGTCTGATCATAAATGTATAATTTTCTCCATGTTAGTAAATGAAAATCTTAGAGGTCCAGGATACTGGAAATTCAACACATCTTTAATTGAAAATGAAAATTTTATCAGTGATATGAAAACTTTTCTCAAAGATTTTAATTATGATAGAGAAAACCCAATAGAATCATGGGAAGATTTAAAGAGAAATGTAAAAGATTTTTGTATTAACTTCTCCAAGAATCTATCAAAATCTTACAAAAGTAAAATAAATTTCATTCAAGAAGAATTAAAAAACATAGAAGACCTGCCCTATGAAAAAATTGATATGAATAGAAAAAGAAAATTAGAAAACGAATTAACAGAATTGATAAACAAAAAAGCAAAAGGTGCTCAAGTTAGATCAAGGGCAAACTGGATTGAAAATGGAGAGAAAAACACTTCATATTTCTTAACCTTAGAAAAGAAAAGACAGATATCAAACATAATAAAATCTTTAAATACTGAGCACGGTACTGTTTTTGATGAGGATGAAATATTGCAATCAACATGTAATTTTTTTGAAAAATTATACTCTTCAGAAAATGTAAGTGATAATAAGATAGAGGAATATCTCAAAGATTTACAGTTAGAATATACTATAAATGATAAGGAAAGAATAGAATTAGATGAATTTCCTTCAATATCTGATTGTAAAGAAGCAGTGTTTAACATGAAGAAAAATAAATCACCAAGACTTGATGGACTACCTTGTGAATTTTACCAAACATTCTGGGAAAATATTAAAGATTATTATTATTCGACTCTTAAGGAGATTTTTGAAAAAAACCAAATGGCATATACACAAAGGTTATCTTTAATAACTCTTTTATTTAAAAAAGGTGACTCTAAGAATATAACAAATTATAGACCTATTAGTCTAACAAATACTGATTATAAAATAATAGCATTTATCTTAGCTAATAAACTTCAAAAAATACTAAATAATGCAATACATGTAAATCAATCAGCATACATAAAAGGGCGCAACATAGCCTTAAATGCAAGATTAATTGTTGATATTTTTGAATATTGTGAAGAAAATAACATGGATTCAAAGACAAGGATGTCCTATTTCTGCTATTTTATTCCTATTCGTAGTAGAAGTATTAGCCATTGCTATTAGATCAAATTCTAACATTAATGACTGATATTATAAAGATTATACAACATGCAGATGACTGCACACTTCCATTAAAAGATAAGAAGTCCTTCAAACATTCTTTAGAGGTTATAGAAAAATTCAGTAAAGTATCTGGTATGAAACTAAACATGTCCAAAACAGAATGTCTTTTAACAGGCCAATGGAAAAATTTGTATCGGCAAATAGAAAATGTTGACGTTAATAATTCTTGTATAAAAGCCTTAGGGATCTTCATAGGGCATGATAAGGAACTATGTTACAATAAAAACTGGACAAAAATTGTAGACGACTTAGAAAAACTTTTTGAATCTTGGAAAAAAAGAAAATTAACAATTCTTGGCAAAGTCTGTGTAATTAATAGTCTAGCAATATCAAAAATTATATATGTTGGGTCAGTTTTAAGTTTTCCAAATGAAAATACACTTAAGAAAATACAAAGTCTAATTTTCAATTTTATATGGAATAAAAAAGATAGAATAAAACGAAACACTCAGATTGGAAGAGTTCAAGAAGGAGGAATAGGTATTGTCGATGTACCTTTAAAATTAAAATCCATAAAAGTATCGTGGATTAAAAACATATTAAGTAAAACAAATTCCTTATTCTTATTTGTTGATAGTTTGTGTAGAGAGAGAAATTTTGATTTTGAATATCTTTGTAAAACAAACGTTATTGATACCAAGGATTATCAAATTATGGAAAACTTTCCTTTGTTTTACAAAGAAATGCTTGTATTTTTTTAATGAATGTAAAAGAAACGAAAGAGAACTAAATTTAAATGCTTTATTAAAGGAACCACTGTGGTGCAATAATAAAATGAAGTTTAAAAACAAGCCACTATTTTTTGTAAATTGGCTGAAAAGTGGTTTTAAGTATATTGGTGATATTGTAGACAAAAGTGGTATGCAACCCATAGAATGGTTTAATGATAAACTTGTATGTAAGAGTAATTGGTTTTGTGAATATATGATAATGAAAAATGTAGTTTTGAAAGCTTTTGTAGATTATGATTTTACAAATATACAGTATGAAAATATCAAATATGAAAATAATGTATATGATTTACTATACCATCATCAAGTAACAGTTTTTGATATTACTTCAAAATTGATTTATAGCATTTTATGTCATGATAAATTTAAACCTCCGTTACATCAATATTATTATGAAAAATTGTTTGAAATTCCAAAAGCTGCTTGGAAATCTATATATGAACAAAAAATATTAGCAATTGTAGATAGAGGAATATCAGACTTTAATTATAGATTATTAAATAACTTATTGTGTAATAGAGTAATGTTGAAGAAATGGAAACATGTTGAAAATGAATTGTGTGTCTTTTGTAGAGATGTAAAAGAAAATAATGAACATCTTATTCTAAAATGTCAAAATGTGTCTCACATATGGGATGTTGTACAGCAAGTTTTGAAATTTGATATATCGAGGAAAAATATTGTTATTGGATTTTATAATGAAAAAAATGAAAAGATATTATTTTTGAATAGTATAATATCCCTGATTGCATGTAAAATTTACAAATACAAAATGTACTGTAGACTAGAAAACAAAGAAGAAAAGCCTAAAGAAATATGTTATTATATGAAGAGTATGTTGAATATTTTTTCAGAAGTATATAAGAAAATTCACCATATGAAATATTGTAATATTATAAAATGTATTAAAGACAAACTATAATTCATCAACCCATTGTAGAATAAGCCTGTTGTTCTACAAATCTTATCTGGGAGACAATAAATAGACTTTTTGAACTGGAGGTGTGGTCTCCCAGATATGTAAGGGTACTTACAATTATACATAAGTTATTCAGCTGTATTTTTAAAGGACTTTTCTTCAATTTGATATTTTGATTATTTATTTCAAATATATGATTCTCACATGACAAATAGAAAGAATGTAATTGTTCAACTTATCTAATCAATGTATTGTACATGTGTGTGACATGTATATTATGTTTTTGTTATTTGCAATAAATTTTAAAAAAAAAAAAAAAAAAAAAAAAAAAAAAAATGCTCAGGTAGTGTAGTTTGAAGTTTGTTCATATCATGACCACCCGGGGTAGGGCGGGGCCAAAATGGCCGACCAAACTTTTACATAGAAATATATAGGAAATTTTTTAAAAAATCTTCTTCTCAAGAATGACAAAGCCATAATTGATCATATTTATAAGGAAGCATCCTCAGGTAGTGTAGATTCAAGTTTGTTCAAATCGTGACCCCCGGGGGTAGGGCGGGGCCAAAATGACCAACCAAAGTTTTACATAGAAATATATAGGAAAATTCTTTAAAAATCATCTTCTCAAGAATAGCGAAGCCATGATTGGTCATGGGACTACTTTTTGATTTAAACTTTTCGATAATAAACCAATTTCTACTTTTTCCTAGCCACATTGCTCAGGTGAGCGATGTGGCCCATGGGCCGCTTGTTTAAATATCTTTTTTCCTCACAAAAATATATTGATATACATGTATATAATAATTATATTGTACACGTACTATATTTGGTTAGGTCCTTAATTACGCGGAAAGCAACTTTCCACAGATGAGAGAGACAAGTTCGTATCTAAATCCTGTGAATGGATAAAACTATAGCAGTACGAGGTTGTAACAATGTCGTCTTTTCTTGACAGTCTCGTGATTATAACTGCGGGTATCGAATGAGTAATTGGCTTTGACGAACTTGGATTTAATGTCACGTCTAATATTGCGAATAAATTCTTCTTCATAAAAAAAGGAAATAGGAAATTTTCAAATCTTTACCTTGTTTATCAGCAAAATTTCTCCATTGAAAATTAATCTGATTCTACACGCAGGTTCTGGAGCTGATAATAAAGGGATACTGCTGTTCCTAATTAACACCATTTATATGGTCTTCGGAGACTAAGTCTTCAAACAAACTGTTGGAATACCTATGAGCACTAATTGTGCTCCTTTATTAGCTGATCTGTTTTTATATTCCTAAGAAGCAGACTTCATTTATATATTTTTCAAGAGAAGAAAAAGAACTCTTGCTTTTGGCCTTCAACTCGGCATTTTAGATACTCAACGATGTTGTATCATTAACAATTTCCACTAATATGTTAACTCGATATATCAAAGTGAACACAAATGACACCACAGAATCTGCAATACCTGTTTCACATTTGGATGTTTTACTGACTATACTCGATAAGGACCAACTAACAAATAAATGTAGGACAAACGAGAAGACTTCATTTTTTTTCCATCGTCATCTTTCCTTAAAATTAATTATGATTTCCCCTGTATATGGTGTTTATGTCTTCAAGATTCTTCGATACTCAAGAGCAGGCTATGAGTACAATCTTTTTTTTTAAAAAAGCTTGTGTCAGGCTACTGACAAATTAATTGTTGTTACAGGGATTTCAACAAGACAACAAGCTCTTTAAAGTCGACATTTTGTAAATTCTAAGGTCGTTATAACAGCCTTGTTAGCAAATATAACCTAACTTTGGGTCGTAATGTGGCTGATTTGTTTCATGCCAGCTGTTAGACCTTTGTACTAAATTTAACTTGACTACTTGTGGTATTTCCCAAGGTTTAATAATGCTCTCTTGTGTTCATGCTCTGTTCATAAATTTGTTTTATCTGTACATTATTTAAGATCGATCACAGCTCGTTTTCTTTACCGTTTTCATTAACATTTTCTGAGGTTCCCTAAATCTATAACGTGTTTCAAAACTTCTTTCACCGACACATACATTCTCTTTAGAGAAGTGGACAGGCTATCGCCTACATCTACAATTATACAGTTTCCAGAATAATAACATGAAGGCCTGCGAAGAGAAGTGGATGTAGGCGAAAGCCTGACCACTTCTCTACAGAGAATACGACACATACAGTATATATCTATGTTTAGCACTAGGGCAGGCTTATCGCTATCGGTGCTCTTGTCCCTAAACCTCTTTACATGGGTTCCTGTGCAGCTTTATTCCTGTGTTTCGTTATTGGGACTTTCACTCAGTGTTTTCAACACGTCTGCAGTGAAAGGTAATGATATAATCTAAAACATTTTCCTTTTTTCAAATAAATAATTTATTTTTCTTTGCGCAGGATTACATGTGTTTTAAGCAATACAACTGGAAACCCATTTAAAAATAGCATATAACTATATGAAAATACCGTAACATTACATGTAAATGAGGTTTCTAGCCCTTATTAATCAGATATTGGGTTGTTTGTCAGTCCCAGTCCACTGACCACCTATGATGGACTGATGACCACGCTGACGTCAGGACACAAGGTCCACTACTTCTTCAATACAACTCTCTGTCAGGCCACGGGGAGCGAAATCCCACAGCAGAAAACGCCTATCTTTGGAGGAAAAATCCAATTTTTCGAAGCCTTTCCTCCCAGAAAGTATGACAATGGTAAAATCATATTCACACAAATGCTCTACGTCCAAGAAGGCTGGGACGGGTACTATGGTAAGCTCTTACTTTCTGGATTCGAGAGATTGAGAGTCCGAGAAATCATGCAGTGTAAATCTGATTATATAGTTGTATAGGGGAAGAATTCAAGACCGCAGATACTCACTTTGAGAGATCAAGGAAGTTCGAGTAATCAAGAGATAGCTGTATTAAATAGCTGTCATAAATTCTTCGTTTAATTTAACAGCTAACGCACAATAATACAAAACTGATATGAGACTTGATTAATGATACTGCTTCGCTCTCTCATACATTGAATTGGTTGTCTGTTCGTTTCTTTGTAGAAATCTTCAATACTGACATGAAAGATATATCGATTTATCCTGATAAACCAGTCCAAATTCTGCTGGACAGACCAACTGTCAATCTCAATGACACCAGAGGGATGCACGGTGCCTCTTGTAAATGGGATGAAGGAAAACCTAGGTAAGCTTATTAACATAACATTGTTTATCAAATACGGAAGAGCCGTTTAAATCATGTTCACTCAATTTAAGGTCTACTATTTTTTGGGGGGGAGAAAAAATTAAAATACACGTATTTTTGCAAAAAGCTCAATGTAATTGTAATATTTCGTTGTTGGTCCATGTTGAACTTTAGACTTTATCTTTACAGTGACACTATCAGTTTTTCCGTTTCAAAACGTGCTGCCCCTGAATTGGTGACTTCATTTAAGAGTCTTAAAAAGAAACTGATAACAGGAGAGGAAATCCGAATGGTCACAAACACGTCGGGATGCAACTGCACGTATAATGACTGCAGGAATCTGACTTTTGGTGGCGATATTAAAGGCAAGATGCTAAATTAAATCTTTATTCTACTACGATTATTGGCTACTTCAAAGAAAAGCCGCGGACATTATTCTCCAATAAATCACGAACGTCATCAAGAAATTATCAGATCAGAAACACGTATAAACCCTGTGCAGTTGAAATGTACATTTGACTTAAGAATGAAATACGTATTTAAACCACATTGATGTGTCGTCTTTTGCAATTTAAACACTGTATATTGCAGAAAGTAGCTGATGAATGTAGGTTTCTAAAGCTTAGCGGGAGTGTTTTCCGAACCTCCCTCCGCCATATTTAAATTCCGTGATCTTGGTAATAAAGTGGTAAAATCACAGGTGCTTGAGGACAGGACCCCCCACCAATATAGACACCTGGGCCTTTTCGAATTTTTTTTCTTAAACTATCCTTAAGTAACATATTTGTGATGTAATCCATACCATCAAACCGAAAAAATTACGAAAAACAAACAGTTTATAAAAATTCGTAACCCACTCTCTATATAAAAATAACAGGTGCTTGAGGACAGGACCCTCCCCCCCCCCCCCCAATATAGACCCCCGGGCCTTTTCGAATTTTTTTTTCTTAAACTATCCTTAAGTAACATATTTGTGATGTAATCCATACCATCAAACCGAAAAATTACGAAAAACAAACAGTTTATAAAAATTCGTAACCCACTCTATATATAAAAATAACAGGTGCTTGAGGACAGAACCCTCCCCCCAATATAGACCCCCGGGCCTTTTCGAATTTTTTTTCTTAAATTATCCTTAAGTAACATATTTGTGATGTAATCCATACCATCAAACCGAAAAATTACGAAAAACAAACAGTTTATAAAAATTCGTAACCCACTCTATATACAAAAATAACAGGTGCTTGAGGACAGGACCCTCCCCCCAATATAGACCCCCGGGCCTTTTCGAATTTTTTTTCTTAAACTATCCTTAAGTAACATATTTGTGATGTAATCCGGGGGTCTATATTGGGGGGAGGGTCCTGTCCTCAAGCACCTGTGAGGTAAACAAACAAATTTACACTCTGGTTTTAAATGGAACAGCGTTAACGCAGCATGGTGACCTAATTCGTTTCTCTATAGAGAAACGATCAGTCGTATTTTAGGGCTGCTAGTACATGTAGCAGAATAGAAATAAAGTCCTTGTTTTCGTGAATGATGCAGAATAACCTCCTCGGTCTCAACAGATGAACACTACATAGATGAAATTCTTGGTATGCATTGGCGTCGGAAGCAAATTGAAAAGGGGGGGGGGGCTAAGTAAATGAAAAAAAAATCAAACCAACTAAAAACTTGACAAGCAAAAAAGGGACAATGTATCCAGTGTTCAAACACGAAAAAAACCTATTTCGGGGGGGGGGGGGTTAGGATCGAACTTCTTTAATACAATTTTTTTTTCCTTAAACAATATTAATTACCCACCTTTTCTTCCTAAACTACACAACGTTCCTGTTGAAAATGGGGGGAGGGGGCTAAATCTATGCCCCCAATGTTCCATGCCTATATTATGTCTATCTTTGCAAAAAAGCGGGGCTAAGCCCCCACCACCGGTTACGACGCCTATGGCATGCATTTTTCAAGTACCCATGCACAATCCAAAGAAATGTAAAAGATGATAACAAACAGTGATCGTTCTCACAAAATCTATAGGTCATATAAATAATGTAGAGGACAAAATACACATACTTCTGAAAAATCCAGAATCGTGTGTCTAGGAGGAGAAAGCATCCCCTGTTCGAGTGCCATGAGTCCTATGTATTAATCGGGTAGACGGAACTCTCCGTGGGCACATCAGTATAAAGATAAGACCTAACAATTTGGTATGAATCAATTAAGTCATCCAAATACAACGCAGTGATAGGTTATATTTCCTAACAAGTTTGTTCCTAACAGGGTCATTAAAACAACCTGTAAATTGCCGCCTTTAAATAAGTTTGTTAAAACCCCTGTAGTATCAACTTATCAGTGAGTAGCATGACTCCCTTTAAATTGCTACTAATAACAATACATCATAAAGATATTATTTATGATATTGATTAAGGAATTGTCATTGTAGATTTTCAGGTACAAGATGACGGTACATTGACGTTTTCCCTTTATAAACCCATGTTTCTGGGAGTTCCTTTCGACCACCCCATGTTTTACCGGGACATCACTTTCGGGTACCTATTCCCTAACAGTACCACTAAGTTCGTCTACACTTACCTGGACCCGATGAACTGGATGATTCTGAACGAAATCAACATCACGTGTCCATTCGGAACATCTAAAGGGATGGCCAATTTTTATACATTTGATTAATTAAATATTAATATCATAACCATTCAATTTTCATTTCTAATTCTTATTACATAAAGATACACCCCCACCCCAATAAAGGGGGGTGGGATGGGGGTAAAGACTACGGTACCTGTCAAATGTCTAAAACTGAGAAATCCACTGTACATATATGGAAGTTGAAAATCATATTGGTTGACACTAGAATGTTTTAAAAGTATTAAAGACTGAAGTGTGATTTTGAAGAATTCCATCCTTAGGAAGTGGACTGACAGCATATACATGTATGCTGTATTTCCAGACGTAGAAAGAAAAAAGTTATTACACGCCTTTTTTGCTGTATAGAACCAAAACATATTGTCAATGAAAGCTTTCGAAATCTTTGAGCACCTTCAATTTACTGAAACTGGAAGGATAGTTCTAAAACTCTTATTCCATTCTGACAAAATTTTCACGTCTTTCCTGTCAAATTCAACCCAACATCTGACATTATCTTCGACAGAATTCATCATTAATAAAAACGAAGTTCTGTCGCCTATGAAATGATTGGGGTCTCTGTATGAATTCAGAATTTTTAAAATAAGAGGATCTCTTTGATGTCTTCAGAAAATAAGAAAAAGGAAAATGCATATTGACTGTTTAATGTACATAAGAAATCAACAGCTGAAATAAATCACTTGCAATTGTCGCTGCCGTTTTACAGCACTACATGCGTTGATCAGACAATAAGGTGACTGAGCGTTGCTGGAGTGTCAAAAGAGTTGCTGAAAGTTTTATTCTCCGTTGAGAAGTTGATGGCTCGTTTTCCCTTAAAAGGGGGGGGGGATTAAAACGAGCCATCAACTTTGCAATAGAGAATACTGAAAGTTGATAATAATTCTGGTTATTGATATATAAATATATTAGGTTTCGTTTACTTCCCTCCTTTTTTTTAATTAAGGTATGTCACTCGTGAAATTTGTTAAATCAAGGATTTTTTGAGAGGTATATTTTGGATAAGTACTCATGTAGTGTGACTCAAAATCGCAGAGAAAATAGGGGGTCAATGTGCATCTTACTGATCTACGGTACAATTAAGTTGACCTTTTTGCACTTAAATTTTAACTCTTTGGTTGATTACTTTAACCTTTATCATATTTTATCAGATGTAACCATGGCAATAAATATAATTATATAATTACGCAAAATAGTTTGAGTAATATTTATCATTGAACCAATCTTGCAAATTAATGCGCGTAAATTATTGTGTGACCTTTTCGCACTAAAAAGTTACATATTTTGGGGTATTAAAAAAGTAAATAGGAAATAAAACATTTTCTTAAATCAAGCTATTTAAGACTTAAGTGCCGATCAGTCACAAGTATTGAGTACTTTAAAATAATGAAAGAAAAAGTTACACTCTGGTTTTAAATGGAACAGCGTTAACGCAGCATGGTGACCTAATTCGTTTCTCTATATAGAGAAACGATCAGTCGTATTTGAGGGCTGCTAGTACATGTAGCAGAATAGAAATAAAGTCCTTGTTTTCGTGAATGATGCAGAATAACCTCCTCGGTCTCGAAATGTTTGAAATATAAAAGCCTCGGCTTTTATCTTTCAAACAACATTTCGAGACCGAGGAGGTTATTCTGCAACATTCACGAAAACGCGGACTTTATTTCTTAATCATGTACAGATGAACACTACATAGATGAAATTCTTGGTATGCATTGGCGTCGGAAGCAAATTGAAAAGGGGGGGGGCTAAGTAAATGAAAAAAAAATCAAACCAACTAAAAACTTGACAAGCAAAAAAGGGACAATGTATCCAGTGTTCAAACACGAAAAAAACCTATTTCGGGGGGGGGGGGGTTGTTAGGATCGAACTTCTTTAATACAATTTTTTTTCCTTAAACAATATTAATTACCCACCTTTTCTTCCTAAACTATACAACGTTCCTGTTGAAAATGGGGGGAGGGGGCTAAATCTATGCCCCCAATGTTCCATGCCTATATTATGTCTATCTTTGCAAAAAAGCGGGGCTAAGCCCCCACCACCGGTTACGACGCCTATGGCATGCATTTTTCAAGTACCCATGCACAATCCAAAGAAATGTAAAAGATGATAACAAACAGTGATCGTTCTCACAAAATCTATAGGTCATATAAATAATGTAGAGGACAAAATACACATACTTCTGAAAAATCCAGAATCGTGTGTCTAGGAGGAGAAAGCATCCCCTGTTCGAGTGCCATGAGTCCTATGTATTAATCGGGTAGACGGAACTCTCCGTGGGCACATCAATATAAAGATAAGACCTAACAATTTGGTATGAATCAATTAAGTCATCCAAATACAACGCAGTGATAGGTTATATTTCCTAACAAGTTTGTTCCTAACAGGGTCATTAAAACAACCTGTAAATTGCCGCCTTTAAATAAGTTTGTTAAAACCCCTGTAGTATCAACTTATCAGTGAGTAGCATGACTCCCTTTAAATTGCTACTAATAACAATACATCATAAAGATATTATTTATGATATTGATTAAGGAATTGTCATTGTAGATTTTCAGGTACAAGATGACGGTACATTGACGTTTTCCCTTTATAAACCCATGTTTCTGGGAGTTCCTTTCGACCACCCCATGTTTTACCGGGACATCACTTTCGGGTACCTATTCCCTAACAGTACCACTAAGTTCGTCTACACTTACCTGGACCCGATGAACTGGATGATTCTGAACGAAATCAACATCACGTGTCCATTCGGAACATCTAAAGGGATGGCCAATTTTTATACATTTGATTAATTAAATATTAATATCACAACCATTCAATTTTCATTTCTAATTTTTATTACATAAAGAAACACCCCCACCCCAATAAAGGGGGGTGGGATGGGGTAAAGACTACGGTACCTGTCAAATGTCTAAAACTGAGAAATCCACTGTACATATATGGAAGATGAAAATCATATTGGTTGACACTAGAATGTTTTAAAAGTATTAAAGACTGAAGTGTGATTTTGAAGAATTCCATCCTTAGGAAGTGGACTGACAGCATATACATGTATGCTGTATTTCCAGACGTAGAAAGAAAAAAGTTATTACACGCCTTTTTTGCTGTATAGAACCAAAACATATTGTCAATGAAAGCTTTCGAAATCTTTGAGCACCTTCAATTTACTGAAACTGGAAGGATAGTTCTAAAACTCTTATTCCATTCTGACAAAATTTTCACGTCTTTCCTATCAAATTCAACCCAACATCTGACATTATCTTCGACAGAATTCATCATTAATAAAAACGAAGTTCTGTCGCCTATGAAATGATTGGGGTCTCTGTATGAATTCAGAATTTTTAAAATAAGAGGATCTCTTTGATGTCTTCAGAAAATAAGAAAAAGGAAAATGCATATTGACTGTTTAATGTACATAAGAAATCAACAGCTGAAATAAATCACTTGCAATTGTCGCTGCCGTTTTACAGCACTACATGCGTTGATCAGACAATAAGGTGACTGAGCGTTGCTGGAGTGTCAAAAGAGTTGCTGAAAGTTTTATTCTCCGTTGAGAAGTTGATGGCTCGTTTTCCCTTAAAAGGGGGGGGGGATTAAAACGAGCCATCAACTTTGCAATAGAGAATACTGAAAGTTGATAATAATTCTGGTTATTGATATATAAATATATTAGGTTTCGTTTACTTCCCTCCTTTTTTTTAATTAAGGTATGTCACTCGTGAAATTTGTGAAATCAAGGATTTTTTGAGAGGTATATTTTGGATAAGTACTCATGTAGTGTGACTCAAAATCGCAGAGAAAATAGGGGGCAATGTGCATCTTACTGATCTACGGTACAATTAAGTTGACCTTTTTGCACTTAAATTTTAACTCTTTGGTTGATTACTTTAACCTTTATCATATTTTATCAGATGTAACCATGGCAATAAATATAATTATATAATTACGCAAAATAGTTTGAGTAATATTTATCATTGAACCAATCTTGCAAATTAATGCGCGTAAATTATTGTGTGACCTTTTCGCACTAAAAAGTTACATATTTTGGGGTATTAAAAAAGTAAATAGGAAATAAAACATTTTCTTAAATCAAGCTATTTAAGACTTAAGTGCCGATCAGTCACAAGTATTGAGTACTTTAAAATAATGAAAGAAAAAGTTGGGGTCAGTGATGTTGATTTTGAAATATTGGTCAAAATATGCGATTTTCAGGCCAAAAATGGTGAAAATTTTATCTTGACTTATTTGACATATCTTCAATTTTTTGGCAAAGTTTGTTGAAGGAGGGTGTAAAACTTGTTCTAAAATATAAAACATATATTAAATATCCCTAGCTATGTCATAACGGAAAATATTCTCCGAGTAAAAGTATGTGAGACTCCAAATTCCAAGATATCGAATTTAATAAATGTGCAGATTTGCAGAATTATCTGCCAAATATCCTTCCACCACAAGAAATAGTCCCTCATAAATCTTGCTTCCTTATAGCTTTTTGAGCAGTTTTTTCGTTGAATGTTAAAACATTAACATTGCAAAATTTTAATATGTTATAAAAATTAAATTTTAATAAATAGTTTTGAAGTTATCTAGGCTCTGCGTGAACTTTTCTATAAAGCTGACGAGTGACATACAGTTGTGTGCCAAAAGTGAAGATAATTTTATTTTTTCTTTATATATTTCATATATAAAAAAAAATTGATGTTAATCAACAGATTAAGGAAAATAAATTATGTAAATTTTTACTTTAAAAATTATCAGTGAAATTTATTGTAAATGTTTATTTTTTTACAGGTAGATAAATTGAAATTAGAAATCGCATGCCATGGTATACATGTAACTACAGTTTTCAACCGTTAATTGGATAATAACTTCCGTTATAACATATTTGGTCAGGTCATTTAATTTTCAGAAAAATATGGATAATTATTTGTTCGACAAAATTGTTTTAAAAAGCATCTAATACAAAGTATTCTATCATGTAAACAAGAATTTATCTTAATAGTTTCATATTTAAACTTAGTATGTTTATTTATAACGTATTTTATGTTGGTCAGGTCAGTCAGGTGTTTAGTAGGTCAGGTCTTTAGTATGTCCTATATGATATAAAACTTTACAGTTGAAAACTATAGTTAAACAAACCATTAACTATACTTAACTTTTCGTGAACTATATTAATTAACATTCGATTAAAACTGTCTGTCACTCAGTCATTCAGTCACTGACAGTCATAGTCAAGTACTTCTAATTTTTTTTTATATCGGGATCGACATGCCTAAAATACCAAATGTAATGTCGATGATGAAACGAGGAGGCAAAACTATCAACACTTAAAACATGATTTATATTCTTTTAAATATCCCAGGGACTAAATGTTATTACATTATTGCTACTTAAGGAAGTGTTTTACTCAAGTTTAAAACTAATTCTCCACAGTCAGTCCCTTCTTGTTTATGTTTTATCGGTAAGTAACTGAATTTCAATATGTCACTTTGTCAGAATGGGGGGTTGTCTAAAAAAAATTACAAGTTTGTCGGAAATACAATTATTAAAATATTTAGCAAGTTCCACTAAATTATTTATAATGCTAACAGAGAGCATAGATACAAGACCAATATGCTTTGTCTGCCAAAAAATTAAAACAATTGAACTTAAAGTGTTGAGGTGCAATTGTAGATGGCAACCCGACGATCAAGACTTCAGATCAAACCTAATATAGGTCCCAGGGGAGGACAAAAGACAGGACCCAATGAAGGTGAAAAACAGAAAGAAAAAATTTCAGATGTTATAAAAAGTCCATCTCGCACCATCTCCAGTCTGATTAAAGCCCCTACAAAAGATCCAGAGCCAAAAGAAAATAAGAAACCTGAAAAGAATGTGGAGGAAAATAAAGTCACATCAGAAAATGGACCAAACTCTGAAAAGGAGGAATCGGTCAAAAGCCCCAAAGGCCAAAAACCCCAGTACACAGCCCTGAGGGCAAAAATCAAAGCTAAACCCAATCTGAATCTGGCTGGAAAACCCAGAAGGTATTGATATATCATTTCTAACTTATTTTTCAAATGTGTATTCCTTGCATTAAGTCTTTTTCTTTGATACTATTTATGAATTTGACCTTGACTTTGGAGTTTGACATACCTTTGAAAAACTTTAACCTTGCTGTCCTAGCATAACTTAAATAACTTTGAACACTTGTGCTAGGGCTTTCATATTCTACAGATGTATTTATAAATTTTATAATTATAACTTTTTTAGGTCACCTGAGTAAACTCAGGTGACCTATTGCCATCTGTTTTCGTCCGTCGTCGTGCGGTGTGCGTCGTTCGTCGTGCGTCGTGTGTTAACATTTGAACATTTTCAGCTTCTTCTCTGCAACCACTGAACCAATTTCAACCAAATTTGGCACAAAGCATCTATGGGTGAAGGGGAACAAAAATTGTGAATTTCATGATCCCTGCCCCCCTGGGGCCTGGGGGGTGGGGCCAAAACCACTAAAATTAATGCAATCTTTAAAAATCTTCTTCTTTACTCCTGGACATCAAGCAGTCAAACTGTTTGCATGATTGTAATCAGCATTGAGTCCTCTACCAAAATTTTGAAATTCATGGCCCTGGGGTCAGGGGTACTTGTGCTAGGGTGGGGCTAAATAGGTATATAGTGAAAATGCATTATTTCTTTGAAAATCTTCTTCACTGCTCCTGGGTATTAAATAAACTAATTAAGTACATAGTTATGATAATCAAGAGTGCCTCTTCCAAAATTGTGAATTTTATGGCCCCAGGGTCAGGGATTCTGGTGTTAGGGCGGGGCTCTATTGATTATATAGTGAAAATACATGAATTCTTTGAAAATCTTCTCCTCTGCTCTTGGGTATTAAATAAACTAACTAAGTACATAGTTATGATGAGCAAGAGTGCCTCTACCAAAATTGTGAATTTTATGGCCCCAGGGTCAGGGGTTCTGGTGTTAGGGCGGGGCTCTATTGATTATATAGTGAAAATACATGAATTTTTTGAAAATCTTCTGCTTTGCACCTGGGTATTAAATAAACTAACTAAGTACATAGTTATGATGAGCAAGAGTGCCTCTACCAAAATTGTGAATTTTATGGCCCCAGGGTCAGGGGTTCTGGTGTTAGGGCGCGGCTCTATTGATTATATAGTGAAAATACATGAATTCTTTGAAAATCTTCTTCTTTGCTCCTGGGTATTAAATAAACTAACTAAGTACATAGTTATGATGAGCAAGTGTGCTTTTACCAAAATTGTGAATTTTATGGCCCCAGGGTCAGGGGTTCGGGTGTTAGGGCGGGGCTCTATTGATTATATAGTGAAAATACATGAATTTTTTGAAAATCTTCTTCTCTGCTCCTAGATTTTATATAAACTAACTAAGTACATAGTTATGATGAGCAAGAGTGCCTCTACCAAAATTTTGAATATTATGGCCCCAGGGTCAGGGGTTCTGGTGTTGGGGGGGTATATGCATTATACATGTATAGTGAAAAAAACATTAAATCTTTGAATATTTTCTTCTTCGCACTTAGGTTTTAAGCAGATGAACTACCTATATAGTTATGAGCTAGGGCCCTAATCTTCAAGAATTGCAAATTTCAAGGCCCCACAGTCAGTTGTACCATAGAGGGGGGGGGCTGTACTTACATACTGAAAATGAATGAATTGTTTGAAATGTGCTCCTTGGTATTAATCAAATATTTTTGAAAAGCATGAATGCCTTTCCAAAAATTGTACAATGTGTGGATCTAGGCCTAACAGTCCAGGGTTCATGTGTGGTAGTGGCACTTCTCATTATTGCTGAATATTACTGATTTGTTGAAATGCATTTTTTGTTCCCCTACCCTGCCTATGGGTATTAAGTAACCAAACTAAGGAACTGCTAAGTGTATAGTTATGATGACCAAATGGTAAATGCTATAGCATCTGGCTTAAAACATGGATCAAATTCAATCACTGGAAAGTTGTTGAATAATGCTCAGGTGACCTATAAGGCCCATGGGCCTCTTGTTTAATTATATAAGGACAAGTGAAAACTTCCGTAAATTGAATTTTTCTTTCTTTTTGCTTCAATTTGAAGGGATTAACTTTTTTCAGTATAACACAACTGTTTACTGTATTTCATTGCTATAACCTAGATTACCAAAGGTTAGAAAACAATATAGTTTGTGAAAATGAAAGCAAATATACTGATAATATATTGTCTTCCATTTCAGAGCAACAGAGGAAACTCAGGCTAAATGCCCCTCTTCTCCGCTGAAGTCGCCCCGACCAAATATTCCTACGACGAGTCTGAGGTCCCCACCGCCCAGACCAAACCTTCCCCCACCGCGACCTCATTTACCAACATGGTAAACAAACTGCTGTAAAATATAGGGACTTGGTGATAAAATGAATTTGAAACATACTGTAAACCAACTTTTATTCGCGTGCGAGAAATTTTCGCGAGATTCGCGAGAGCCTCGTCATCGCGAATATATCTCGCCGCGAATGGGTCCCTACCGTCTCTTTTTCTATTAAAAAGAGTTCCAAAAAGGCTTGGTCGCGAAAATTAATCGTCGCGAACTACTTTATTCCCGGTAAATCGCGAAATAAAGTCGTCGCGAATAAAAGTTGGTTTACAGTAATCATTAGATTTTTCCTAAAACTTGTATGTCTACTTAAAGAATGGATTTGCCAAGTTTGTGGATTTTTTAATCCTATATAATTATACAGATGATGACTTAAATTTTTTTTTTTTTGGTAGCCCATCTCCTGTAAAAAGCATATCTAAGCCAGAAATAAATATACCGAGACTAACAGAGGAAAAGGAGGAAAAGATAGAAAAGCCTAAACAGGTTAGTTCTTGTACAGAGCTGGAAAATATATAATATAAAACTGCCAGAAATTGAAATCACCTGAGTTGCTCAGAGGAATTACTACTATTAGTCCAGCATTAGTATGTATCCTGGGTTCAAAGGTTGTTTTCAAAATCTTATGATTAATACAGTCTTCAAAAGTCATATATTGTTAAAAGAAATTAATTATTATCAACGAAAAAAAAAACATTTTACTTGAATCTTAATGATTATTTAATAATTCTTCTTTATAAAAAAATTTGAAGGATGTGTACACCACCTTAGCTGTCAATATCTTTTGTCAGGAGGTTTATGTTATTTAAGAGACAGTAGAAGAAGAAGCTGACATATAATTTTTTATGCTGAGTTTAGAATAAGATAGGAAAGACACTTTCAGCTGTTGTCATTTGACTTGTCCTAATTTTCAGGGGTTCAAAATTTTTTTTTGTCATGGTCAAGTCCAGGACTTGAAGAGTAAATTTTAGGCAAGTCCGAGGAAGAAATTTCAGAGTCCATATTTACCTATACATCATTAAATTTATGTAACTTATAATTTACTTTCATTTGTTGCATTGAATGAATAAAGACTATGTGTATTAATATATGTTTTATTTTTCCTCCATAAACTGTCATATAGTTATACATGAGTATTTCAACACAATACCAGACTGATAGATTACTGGTAGATTACAATAACTTTTACAAATACTCACTACTGAATAAACCATCTGTTACAATAAATAGAAATTAGAATGTGCTGTAAGTCACAGCTAAAACCGAAATTTAACAAACTCATTGCCGTTTTTCATATAGGAGGAAACATGAGGAATTGCGTAAAAGCAAGAGTCTAACCGCAACGGAAAATAAAAAGACGGATTGTATTTTCGAAACGTTCATAATGTTTTATGGGTATTTTAACGTCCACAAACCCACATTTTTACTTAATACATTTGAGAATTTGCTTTATTTTTAGCTTTACGATCATTTTTTTAATTTATAAAAAAAGATAAACAAGAAACATAGCCAAGTCCCAGGACTTTGGCGAATTCTAAATGCCGAGTCCGGATCCGGAATTTGTTAGTCCGGGACGTCGGGCTTGAGGATTTTTGAACCCCTGAATTTTGTGAGTTAGACTATAAGGAATTTGTTATCTTCGTCATGGCTGTTTAGGTCAGGAGACACACAAAAATTGACATCTCAAAGGATGCACCGCTGGACAAAACCTCCATGAAAATGTCTGATCTCATATTCTGGAACCCTAATAGGAATTTCATGTCGTAAGTATAAAATAGTGTATGATTTAGATGGAAAATGGGTTGCTAAATCACTTTCTAAAACCCTGTATTGTCATAGATATGAAAATAGAAAGAATTTTCAAGTAGCACTGTTTGTGATTATAACATTAAAGAGGATATCTAAAAATGGAATTTTTTTTCTTTGTTTTACTTTTATGTACATACAATGTTATTGTATATGTACATATAAATTAAAACATAAAAAAGTGAAATATATGTATTAAAAAGCTTATATGTATTTAAAAAATTCCTAAGTAAATGAAAACTGTTCTTCCCTTGTAGGAGCCAGAGTAAACCAGAGAAGCCTTCTAAGACTGTGGATCCTGAGCCAGCCGTCAATCCGCTGTTACAGGCGACAGAGGAAGAGAACCAGGTGGACGAACCTGAGGGTGAGGAGGAGGAGGAAGAAGAGGAGGCATTGCCGGTCCCCCAGGTCAAGATCGGGCCCGACGGCAGCCTCATCATTAATGAAGAAAGGTCAGGGAGGTTAACTACGATTAATGAACATTGTATTGTAAGAAGACACAAAGCACATGTTATTACCGTTATTGCTTCTTTAGAATCTAAGTTAAGATTTAGCTAAGATTTATTAAATAATGAAAGATATGCTCAATTCCAAATTCAAAGATTTGAATTTAATTCCCTGTTTCATGAAAAGAAATATGCACATTGAAATATTTTGGAGTTCAGGATGACATCATTCAAATTTTTGTGCAGGGGAGATTAACAATTTGTATTTTGAGCTGTCAAACAGATTGTTTCATCTTACACACTGTAGAAAACTCATTGTTTTAGATCTTTGACATAAGATGCAAGTATTTACATTCATTGACAACATTGGTATATGATACAATATTTATCTTTGTTTGTTATTGATATGGTTATTTTTCCAGTCTGGTAGTGAACACCAAGAAGCCGGTGATTGAGGAGGAAACCGAGACAATAGACGAGACGGAGAACACGACGACATACGCCAGCTTCAGGAAACCTCGAACAAGACAGCTCTGGAGTAACAAAGGTCAGGAGGTCACCGAATTCTGGGATCTTATACCCCAAAATTACCCTTGTTTGTTTGTCTGTAGGGAGGATTCTGTAATTGATTGTCTCCATATTTTACTGTTAATTGTCATGATGAATAAGTATACTTTGAAATGATTTTAAGAACAAATTTCTGTATGCAAAGTTTTAAGATTCATTAAATGATTAAAGATTCAAGACATGAAATTTTCATCAGTGGAAATGTTCAGTATAATTTGAGAAATTATAAATCTTTTTATGCCTTGTAGAGACAGAGAAGTTTTACTATGCCTTGAGTTCTATAGGAACAGACTTCACTCTCATGTTAAAAGTATTCCCAAACAAAACTAGGACAGATCTCAAGGTAATAACTTGCATTTGTTTTTTCGCTCACATTGACATATTTATCATTTACCCAGTTATTGCACAGTTAAAGCTTTTGGAGTAGGTTTATTTTATGTTTATTACATTTAGAAATCCTACTTGGTCCAAAATTGTGTAGTGGTTGTTTCTTTGGATGCACACTTTCAGAACATCTGTTTGGTGTGAGGCTCACTCTTAAATACTCATAGATAACATATGTCCGGGTGAAGTTTTTGAAATGTTAGAAATGAGATGGTGTGGCTTCAGCTGTTAGCAGAAGGAGAAAATAAAATCTTATGATGAAACAGAATTTACATGTACATACACGAAATTTACATACAATATTTCTAATGCAGAAAAAGTTCATGAAGGAAGACAAGGAAAATCGCTGGAAGATAGAAAAAGCATTAAGTAAGTGAATACCGTAAATCTGGAAATTTTTACGTCGATTTTTTTTGCGAATTTGGGTCAAAATGCTGTTGATTAATTTTTACGCTTCAAAATTTTGCGAATGACCGCTACTTTGTTAACATTTTCTTATTGTTGATTTTTTTAAAGAACAATAATTTTGCGAATGCAATGAACTCGCAAATTTGCTAAAAATTTATCTACAGCAAAAATTTCCAGATTTACGGTAGTTCAATGATTGTCTGTACTAAAGGATAATCTATCATAATAACTGTTATTGGTATTTCATGATGCATGAAATGTGTAATGCAAATTAATTTTTTTCAGAGGAGAGAAACCCTTTTGATATGGATGTGTTCAAACGTTTGGATAAGTTGGTAGAAGAGGAGAAATGTGAAAAGGAAAAGGAGAAGGAAAAAACAAAGAAATCCAGAATCAAAAAAGTGGAGATGGTGGAGGAAAAATCAACAGCTCAGCCTTCTGCTGTAAGGCGGAGTAAAAGAAAAACTACAGGCACAAAAAAATTGTCAGGTAAAACTACAAGCACTAAAAACTGTCAAGTGAAAAATTACATGCACTAAAAAACAGTCAGGTAAAACTACATGCACTAAAAAAGTGTCAGGTAAAAATTACAGGCATTAAAAACTGTCAGGTAAAAATTACAGGCACTAAAAACTGTCAAGTAAAAATTACAGGCACTAAAAACTGTCAGGTGAACCTACAAGCACTAAAAACTGTCAGGTAAAACTACATACACTAAAAAAACTGTCAGGTAAAACTACAGGCACTAAAAATTGTCATGTAAAAATTACAGGCACTAAAAACTGTCAGGTAAAACTACATGCACTAAAAAAACTGTCAGGTAAAAATTACATGCACTAAAAACTGTCAGGTAAAACTACATGCACTAAAGAAAACTGTCAGGTAAAACTACAGGCACTAAAAAACTGTCAGGTAAAAATTACAGGCACTAAAAACTGTCAGGTGAACCTACAGGCACTAAAAACTGTCAGGTAAAACTACATACACTAAAAAAACTGTCAGGTAAAACTACAGGCACTAAAAATTGTCATGTAAAAATTAAAGGCACTAAAAACTGTCAGGTAAAACTACATGCACTAAAAAAACTGTCAGGTAAAAATTACATGCACTAAAAACTGTCAAGTAAAACTACATGCACTAAAGAAAACTGTCAGGTAAAACTACAGGCACTAAAAAACTGTCAGATAACAATACAGGCACTAAAAAAACTGACAAGTAAAATGACAGGTACTAAAAAACTGTCAGGTAAAACTACAGGCGCTAAAAAAACTGTCAGGTAAAATTACAGGCAATAAAAAACCATCACGTAAAACTACAGGCACTAAAAAACTGTCATGTAAAATTACAGGAAATAAAAAACTGTCAGGTAAAACTACAGGTGCTAAAAAACTGTCAGGTAAAATTACAGGCACTAAAAACTGTCAGATAAAGTAAGAAGCACTAAAAACTCTCGGGTAAAATTACAGGTATAAAAACAGTCAGGTAAAAAATACAGGCACTAAAAGACTGTCAGGTAAAAAGTACAGGCACTAAAAACTGTCAGGTAAAACTACAGGCACTAAAAACTGTCAGGTAAAATTACTTGTATTAAAAGCTGTCAGCTAAAAAGTACAGGCACTAAAAAACTGTCAGGTAAAACAACTGTGTTACACAGAGTCAAGGTAAGACAAAACATGAAGAACTATAAGATCAAACTTCATTTATGTGTAAAAGTAAAGCAGAGTAAAAGATCAGACAAGGGCATAAAAAAAATTATCAGGCAAAACTACAAGCATGTAATTGTTTTAGTCGGTAGAAAAGGAAACTGTGGATATTAATTAAAAAGGAGGGATGTTTTATTTTATGTTGATGGATAAGGGACAAAGATCCTTATGTTGATAAAAACAAATAAAAAGTATCTTTCCAGACTCAACATTTTTTCACATATGTGTCCTGTTTTATAGCTTCTTATTTTGATACGAGCAATGACGACTTTGAAGATGATGAGGATGATTTTGTAAAGCCTACCCCTTCGAAGGTCCACAGAGGGTAATTATTTTCTTCTGAATATATTAATACATCAAAGATTGGTGAAGTTTTGAGAATTAAATCAGAAAGGTTAAGTTAATAGACCCTTTCACGATAACAGTGTTACTGCTTTTTGAGGGCAAAATGATATACTTTGGTGAAATATGATGCAAAAGCAATTGTCATTTCGTTATCTATCAATAAAATCTCCGCCAAATATTATTAATTTGCCCTGCAGAAGAGCAGTACCACAGTTACTATGAAGGCGCTAATAATATCCTTGACAATGTACAATAAACTGAGTTAATTGGTTTACAGGGCTGGTAAGAAGGAGGAGGAGAGAGGGAAGACAGCTGGCCTAGTTTCAGGACAAAGCAGCGCCCTGAATCAGTCAGAGATTGTACAGGCCATACGAGATACAGAGGGAGAGAACAGCGAGCAGGGCCCCATCATTCTGGTGTATAACAAACCGGAGGATCCGACCGGGGAAACCGTCATCCACGTGTACAGGATGCAGCCTCAGTTTTATCACCTAGCTCAGGACAATGGCCAGCAACCCATCATTGTAGATGGAAACAATATTCAGTGGATGAGTGAACAGTGGCCCGGTGTGCAAACTGTGGTGACAACAAGCGAGAACAGTTTAACAAACACTAGTGGAGGCCAAGATATGCCCCTACAGTTTCTGTCCTCTGACACTGACCAGGTTCTAGAAATTCCACTCATCACTGAATCCGGTGAACCGTTTGTTCCACAAAATGTCATGACACTTGCTCAGAACAGTACTCAGGAAATTGTTCAGGCAGAGGAACTTCCTGTCCCTGAGTCAGGATTAAATGCCGTGAGCTGTGTTGGGGATCTTCATTCAGCATCGCGTGTTCACACTGGAGAACTTCCTGTCACAGAATCAGCTACGCGTGTTCACACTGGGGAACTTCCTGTCACTGCGTCAGCTTCTCATGTTCAGATTGAGGAGAGTCCTGTCCCTGCGTCAGTGTCCAATGTCATGAGTTGTGTTGGGGACCTTCATTCAGCGCCTCTTGATCATACTGAGGAAGTTTCTGTCACTGAACCAGAGTCCAATGTCAAGAGGTGTGCTGGGGAGGAAGTTTCTGTCACTGAATCAGCGTCCAATGTTGTGAGCTGTGCTGGGGAGGAGGTTCCCATCACTGAATCAGCATCCAATGTCATGAGCTGTGCTGGGGACCCTCATTCCGAGACTGCTGAATCTGAACTGGTAAATTTGCCCCCCGTGAAGGGAGGTTTACAGACAGAGGTGAAATTTGTACCTGTTTCCCAAACAGATGTGACGGACTTAGGAAGTGAATCGGTAGGAGATAATGCCACAGAACAGCGAGTGTATGTGGAACAAGTGGAAGTGTCTACCATCATAGATGTCAATATTGTCAAGGTGGATACCTAATACTTTATCATAATTTGTGTGTTGTTTTGGATATTTAAATTTCAAGTGCAATGAATTTTTTAAACTGACTTTTTGCCAGTTAAATAGGATTGAATAAATTAAATAAATTGTGTTACTCCTTTTTTTATACAGTAGAAATCATACTTGACTCTGTATAATTTGGAGTTTTATTTGAATTTGTTCTGAACATTGCAACAGCTTTGTTCTTCAGTTAATCATGTGATGAGAGTTGTCTTTCCTGCTATGATCCCCATACTCACACACACACCTGTTAAAGCTCATGGGCTTTTTTAAAAAAAATGGTGAATTTCAACAGCATTCTATTTTTAGACAGGGTTACGTGACTTCATTAAATTGAGGCTAAGAAAGGAAGTCGTCTGCTCAGCATATCAATTGAATTTACACAAAGGAAAAGATTTAGTCAAAAGACACGCATGAAGAATCAAGCTGGAAGAAATGAGTTAAAGATTGATCGACACAAATTAATCTGTTCTTAATATTTTTTTTAATTGCGTCGTTAGAGCTCTGTAGAGTCACGAAGTAAGGACCCTTCGGAGTATATCTTGCGTCACGGGTTCGAATCCATTGTGAAGAAGACGCCGGTCCTTCGGATGAATCGCTAGAAGCTGAGCTCTGTCTCAGTAGGTGCTGGCGCGGAAAAGATCTCTCGCTGCTAAAAGGCCGTTATTGCCGAGTACAAGTCTAAATTTGCAGCCCTCCACCAAGTGATAAGTTCTCGAATGGATTTTAAACAAATATTCAAGTAACGGGCCTCAAGGCATGCTCTTATATTTCTGTAACTAGTCTCTAGGGCTGGGTTTGGCCAGAGATTTCGTATTGCGATATATTGCGATATTTTTAACTGTATTGCGAAATGTATTGCAATATTTTCAATGTAATAAAAATGGCATTTTCTTACTATATTTACTTTAATTTACATGCAGAATTTACATAACTGTGATAAGTAACCAACATGAAGAAAAAAATCTTGTTGATTTCATTTAAGTTATGCTCTTAAAAGTTCCCACAAAACAACTTCTGTCTTACTGTTTGTCTTAATAACAAACTTTCATAATTCTTTTTTATATTTAATCATTTTGATGACAAAATTCCTTAATCTAAGTATATTGCCAATATATCGATATTACAAAATCGTATTGCGATACGATATTTTTTGTCTCTGTATTGCAATATATTGAAATATCGATATTATTGCCCAGCCCTACTAGTCTCATATACAATTTTGGCCTAAAACGTAGATGACAAAACGCAAAATTGATTGTTTCTTATATCTGTATAGAATCCTATATTTGCATGAGTAGGCGGTTTCAATCACAGGGACCGGTACTAAACTATATTTGACAGGCCTATCTACAAAACGTAAATACAGTGATCAAATATATTATGATACCGCCCCTGTGGTTTCAATTATCTTAAGGAAGCTCTAAACACTAGAAAATGTTTTTCGACTCTGAAAAAAATATGTCATATAAAAATATGCATATTGAGATTTTTTCGTTCATTTAGAACAATCAACATAGGGTACGTGCCTTGTTTGCACAGGAAAAATGTTCAAAGACAATGGACTATTTCTGAGCAGAAATCACTGTTGTTTACTTATATTGGGAAAATTATTGAAAATAATTAATTAAATTTCTTACTTTTGGTCTTATATAATGCTAAAAATATTCTAATCTATTATAAATTATGTAATTAACGGTAAATAACAATTTCTTTAATCTTACATCTAAGGGCAGATCACTCTGACTGTATAAAACTACCCAGTAAATAGAGCTCTTAAGTGTGCAGTGTTTAGAGCGTCCTTAAGATGCTCACTTAAGGTCAAGATCTAGTAAATGAAAGGTGCCTACAGATTTATCAAATTTGAGAAATAAATTCCTTTATTGATGCTTTACAACTTTAGCTTGGTCAAATAAGGTGTTTCGGGGCATAATTTGTAGGTAAACAAGATGAAAAACTATATTTTAAACTGTCATTTTCAATGAAAAATTAAGAAAACCAGTCATGAATATGAGAGTTTTTTTCATATTCGATAAAGGAAATGTATCCAGATTGCCTACAGTCTCACAGAAAACGGTAATTAGTATGTTCATGGCCTCTTCTTTAAATGAATATCAAATTTGATATAGGTATCCGGTTTACTTTTCATATGATTTCAAATTGAATGTCATTAATACCCTATTTTCCACATAATTCTGCTAAAGCTGTAAAGTACGGGAAAAAGAAAGTTGAAATTGATTATGATGTCATAATGGAACTAGCACCAAAAATTTGTATCAAGTTATTTACTAGATCTTGACCTTAACTACTGCAGTTATTTTTACAGGTAACAAAAATTGGGACATGTAGATAACACCGATTGATTGACATTAATTTCATTTACATGAAAAGATTTACCGGTAGTCATTCAACAGTGCATCCCTGTCGTGTGTGTAGACGAACGGCTCTTGGCGTTTCTATACAGGCATGTAGTATTGGACGGGGGTGTACCCAACTGTTTAATAAAGCATCACTTTACTTATAGTAAATGTTCATTGAAAGGTTTGTTGTCCCCTCCAAATTTTGCCGAAGTGTGGCAAATCCTGGTAATTTGTTAGTGTATTAATAAAATTATGTTGCGAAAAAAGTTCACACCCCTCCTAGTCACGCCAAATAGGATTTCCGAGTTAGGTTGATTGTCTAATGTATATGTTGTCAGTTTGTCAACTCGTTTGTTTCTATGCCTCTGCTGTATAAATGGCATTCACATTGCGAATTAATAGAAATCCTCTAAAAAAATTCTTGTTCCATTAAAATTTCAATGTTTTTTTTTCTTAATGAATTTTTGTTTACATTAATTGGTCATTTGGGGCGTTTTTACATTGAGGTCTTAATTTTCCAATACCCGGTAATTTTTAGGTTCCATCGCAACATCCGAGATTCAAATAATTTAACTCTATGTTACATCGCTAGATCCGGGAATAAGGCGGATTATGTAGAGAAAATTTAGTCTGATATATATATCCAATTGTGCTAGCATATAGTCTTGTTTACTGAGTGGTATTTAATGTAGAGCAAATTTTGAAATTCAATGTTGACTTTTCCCATGTAAACATATGGGACCTTTTTGACACCCAATAAATATTTTTTGTTCTATAAATTAACCTTTTTAAAGAAGTCTTCATGACATTGCAGTTCGACTTTCTTACCACAATTAATTCAGAGACCCCTGATTTTCTTCAATACACATACGTAAATCACTCAACTGAAGAATGTGAAATACTAGAAAAATATGACAATTTAAGTATTTTGAATGATTACAGCCCCGTGTCGTCGCGTTCCCCCTATTGTCTGGGAGGAAAGAAATTCGTGAAAGCGTAATATATACACATTAGGAGAAAATTTACATAATCCAGTGTCCTTTTTAAGGACATTAAAGGCTGTCTTGAGACGCCCCCTTCATGGGTCAGTATATAAAAGTTTACACAAACGATTAAAGTTTTAGATTAAAGTGTAACGGGATAGAACAAGACCATACTGTGACTGGACATAAACTGGAAATAATCATGGTGAAATATACACTACACTACTTTAACTTGAAAGGGAGGGGAGAAATCATCCGCCTGGTACTTACAGCTGCTGGGGTGGACTTTGAGGACCACCGGGTAGAACGCGAAGAATGGCCCAAACTCAAGCCAAGTAAGTATTCCCCACCCCCAAAATACATTTCATTTCTAGCAAAAATATGTTGGAAAATATGTTTTATATATGCAAACCAATTCATCAGTTAAGAAAAAAAAGATGATTTTTTAATGTAAGCATCTGTTTTTAGCTATGCCTGCGGGTCAGATGCCTGTATTAGAAATCGATGGTAAAAAGTACTGTCAGAGTATTGGAATAGCTCGATATCTGGCTCGGGAATATGGTAAGTTTTTTTCTTCTCTTCTTTTAAGTGCTCATCTTCAGCATGCTCATCTTTAGCATAATGATAAATTATACCAAATATATTTGAATTAATAATAAACCATGACCGACATATAGAATACTATAGAAAGCATAGAACTTTACGATATGCATGTGTCCCCTCAATGAAAACGTACCTTTTTTTTTGTTTGTCAAGGAATTTTTGGTAGTTGATAGTGTCCCCCAAACTGAAAATGTATGGCTATGCCCCTCCCCCAACTTAAATTGCTTCCTACAGGCCTGTAAACATATGCATAACTTGATCATCTACAATTGTGTTTCGTTTAGAATAACATACCAGGTATCTTTGCCATCTAAAAAAAAATACCTTAGACATGCAGCGACCAACAGTGACACTGCTGGTAATTAAAGCCACCGAAAAAGGCAGATTACGCCATACGTAACCTATTTAGCCATCACTCCGGTTTATTGTGACTTGACCTATAGGGACATATACATGTATTTAAACCTCCCTTTGACCTGCTGTCCCGTGTCCTCCCTAACGTGTCCCTGCATTATAAGGACCAGGCATTCCTCGGTGTTATGTATGGTCATGGACAACTCAACTATGCAGAGAAAGCCAGCGTACATGACAACGAAACATTTCAACAAAACAATGTTATTATCCAGCTACGTCAAACAATTGTAATGAGTTCTGTAATTTTAACATTTCCTTTCCCTGTAAAATTTCTGCATAACAATATACTAGTTTATTATATGATTGAATAATTTCCATCTCTCTGATTGGCTGAGATCCAACTATGTTAGAAAAATATTACGTTGTATTGACCTGCACGTGACGTTCCAGGTCAATACAAGGATTTATTTCCTCTACATTGATCTAAAAATAGATTGGGAAATTCCAAATTGATACAAATTGTTCTGGAAAGCTATCTAAACGACTATGATTTTTATTTTCATGTGAACAAAACATAAGCGAATACTAGTATATATTTTAGGTGAGGATGGTAAGATGGGTTGCAGGACCCCCCCCCCCCCCTTCCAACACTTTTACTGAACAACAAATTCTTTTTTGGCAGTCAGTTTTCCCTGATAATACTCCTTCCTTTCAAAATCTATCCTATATAAAAAAGACTGACATTATATATTTCTTTCATGGCAACTAAAATTGATTAAAAAAAAACATTTCAAATTGATACGACTGGTAAGGTTTATTCACATTTTAATTCTGCTTCTCTCTTGTATTTCGTTAGGGCTTAATAAAATAAGCTGTATCATTTTATCAGTGAATCATATAATAAAACAATTATTGCTGTTTTTTCGGTCAATACAATGATTTAGCCATCTTCGAAGTACAATATTCACCTCGCCCTTCGGGCTCGGTGAATATTTTACTCCTCAGATGGCTAAATCATTGTATTGACCTCAAAAACCAGCAATAATTGTATAATATTACACAATAAAACAGTATAGAATCGGGAAGCTAAAAAATATTACAGTACAACAAAGTAAGGAATAAAATGAGAAGAAAAAAAGATTTGTGTATATATACACGTTTACGTTTATTGAATAATGGTTGAGATATTTTTATCTTGCTAGATATAACTTATATGTATACAAAAACGACTAACCGCCTGACTTTGATAGATACTATCTGATATCACTAACGTGTTTGTAGAATAACATCTAGATAAAATCCTCCCATCAACGAATCAGATAAGTACATGTAGTGACCCACGATCAGTACTCGGTAGTTTAAGGGATACGACTAGCCGAGCCTCCCCTTCTTCCAATTTTTTTCTTAAAGAAATCTTATAAAATGTAGTTGGCAAGAGAAATAATTAACCAGGCAAGATATAAAGTTTAATGGCTCTCTCCAATATAAATTTATTTCAGGCCTTAGAAAGCAATTTAAGTTTTAGGGAGGGGGCGCACAACCATCATACATTTTTAGGTGGATCGAGGGGCACATTCAACGGTTCACCCTATCAACTACCAAACACCCCTTAACAATCAAAAAAGGTCATCAGGCTTTTCTTTATTGAGGGGGACAAGCATATAGTACTTATGTTTTCTAAAGAATTCTACATATCGACAATATGTTTCAGTTTATATTTCTGTCTATGTAGGATTGGCGGGAAAATCCAGCCTTGATCAGTTATTGATTGACCAGGTAGTAGCAACTGTCGATGATTTGTTGACTGAGATGATCAAACCGGTATTCGAACCCGATGAAACAAGAAAGGTAAATATTTGACTTGGGTTTGGCAGTGATACTCAGTGGTTTGCCCCATTTGACTGGATAACACCTCCTTTAGTTTATCTAAGGTAAAGAGGACTCTGTTATTCCTGTTCTAACGTAAATTCGTTTATACAGTTTGATTTGTTTGAGAGCAAATCATGCACTATCTACTAGTAATGTACCTACAATGTAAATTGATTATAATCGAAAAATAAGCCATAAAGACATCAAGCTGTCATAGACACTCTTAACCCCCCCTCCCCCCCCCCCCACACACACACACATACATTTATACAATGTACACAAAAAGGATAACAGAAATTTTGATTTAATTTTTCATAATTTAAAAATCGGAATTTATATGGCACGCCAAATTCACAAAAAATGAGCTAGTCATAGTTTCACAGTCGATAAACTAGGTTTATCGGTTGTAAACTATAGTTTACGGACTGTAAACTATTGTTAACAACGTTAATCTATATTTCACGTCTGTAAACTATAGTTAACGCGATAATCTATGTTTAACAATCGTAAACTATACTTAACACCAAAAACAATCATTTGCGATTGCAAAACATAGATTATCTGATGAATACAGTTTCACGATTGTAAACCATGGTTTACAACTCTTAACTATAGTTAACGATCGTAAATTATAGTTTACAGATGTGAATCTATGTTTATCAACGAAATCTATTGTTAACGGTTTATTACAGACAGATATACTTAGATTAGCATTCGTAAACTTTAGTTAACGTTAAATATAGTTTTACAGATGAAAACTATACTTATCGAATTGTAAACTATAGTTAACGATTTGTAAACTATAGTTTACAGTCGATTAAACCTAGTTTATCAATTGTGAAACTATGTTTAGCACGCCAAATTCACAAAAATGAGCTAATCATATGCATAGTTTCACAGTCGATAAACTAGGTTTATCAGTTGTAAACTATAGTTTACGGGCTGTTAACTATAGTTAACAACGTTAATCTAATCATAGTTAACGCGATAATCTATGTTTCACAACCATAAATTGTACTTAACACCAAAAACAATCATTTGTAATCGCAAAACATAGATTATCTGATTAATATAGTTTCACGATTTGTAAACTATGGTTTAAAACTCTTAACTATAGTTAACGATCGTAAATTATAGTTTACAGACGTGAATCTATCTTTATCAACAAAATCTATTGTTAACGTTTTATTACAGACAGATAAACTTAGATTAGCATTCGTAAACTATAGTTAACTACCGTTAAATATAGTTTTACAGATGAAAACTATACTTTACGAATCGTTAACTATAGTTTACGGTTTGTAAACTATAGTTTACAGTGGATAAACCTAGTTTATCAATTGTGAAACTAGGTTTAGCTCATTTTTGTGAATTTGGCGTGCCATAGGAATAAGTGTCAATTTCGTAACGGGTAGGCAGGGGATGCTCAATCATCCGCGGCACCTGATCCTACCTCTGCTTTTTGCTCTGCTCCAATTTTGTATTATTTAATGGACTTTTGGGCTTGAATGCTGTTCGTTATTTCCAAAGATTTCATACATAAGGTTTTGTCAGTAATTTTATTATAAACTGTGATTTCAGGCTGAAATGTTTAAGAAACTGAAGGAGGAGACCATTCCCCGTGTGATGGGGATTCTCCAGAACTTCCTGGACGGCAATGGCGGCACCTATTTTGTAGGATCACAGGTATCCAGTAGTATTTATATAATTATATATTCTTAAATTTTTATTTCATCGCGATCAAAAATACGAAACACACTTTTTATCTCAAGATGAGCATTTTGTAAAATCATTATATATACATGTATGCACTATGTATAAATTTCTCATTTTGTTATAGCTGAGCTTGGCAGACATTTATTTTATGGACATAGTCTCTCGACTTTTCGATAAACAAGGCGATGTGTTGAAAGATCACCCTTCACTAGCAGCCAACTTAAAAAGTACACAGTCCCTACCAAAGATTGCCGATTATCTGGCCAAACGACCTAAAACAGATCTCTAGGAAACAAGGCAGCAATATGTTTATGTAATAATGTGACTTTTTATCCATGTGTACTTCTTGTAATAAATGTATTGTTTGAATATCTCTTTCTACTGCTTGTTTTTTTTACTGAAATCTCTGCAGTGGTGTTTGTTCGACAATTGACGATGTACTTTTAAAGAGAAAACCTGTATATTCTTTTTTTAACCACAGAAGGAACGTGATTGAACGTGAGTGCAGTCTGTTAATGCATTCCGTATTGGTTGATCTTACATGTCTGAAAATATTTTAAACAGATGGGAAGAGTTTTTGTGTGTGTGTGTGTGTGGTACCACATATTGATAGCATTTTAAACAAATATTAAATAGATTAATTCTCTTCTAGTAAAATAAATAAATTGATTAAAAAAAAATAATTTTACAACCAAATACAACTTTTGATAATTTGTTTTGTATTTATGTAAAGTACAAACAAAAGTAATTCATTTTATTATTTATTCAAAAGATTTGATCAAATCATTTAGATATTGTTTATTGTTTATATTGCAATGAGCTTGTGAAATATACAAGCCTTAGCATCAACCATTAAACAGTTCTGACCAAGTATTAAGTTTTTGAAAAGTACGTGAAAGTCGAAAGGTTTGAATGTTGGAACCCAGAGAAATATCCTGTCAAAGAAATATAGCCAGTGAAATAGGAAAGTCATACAATGAACCATTCTAAAGTTATGGTCAAGGTTAAAGTTTTTAAAAGAAGGTCAAAGGGCCAAAACTGTTGATTCCAAGAAAACCTCTTGTCACAAGAAATAAAACCCTAGCACCAACTGATTAAAGCTGTAGGCAAATTTTGCAAAAATGGGTCAAACTCACAGGTTTCAAGATCAAAAATATTTGATCACGATCAAACCCAAAGATAAAAACTTGTCTCAGGAATATCTTGGATATAAATACGCTATCTCTAACTGTTGAAAAGTTATGAAGATTTTTCAAAGGTATATTAAACCCAAAGGTCAGGGTCAAAGGGTTAAATTAATGAGGTCTTGTTTCAAGAAATACACGTGTGAAATATGAAGACCCTGGGACCAACCGTCCATACATAAATGGCCTTCTTTAAATATTTTCAAAAGTAGGTCTAATTCCAAGAGTCAAAATTGTCGGGACCCAAGGAAAGCTCTTGTTCCATAAAATACACATAAAAACATAAACATAAAAGCCCTATTACTATATACCGGGTAAGCACTAAAATTCAAAAGTTATGACTGAAGTTAAAGTTAATCAAAAAAGGGTCAATTTTAACAGTTTAAGGTGAAGGTAAAATTATTGGTACCTGAGGAAGGTCTTGTCACAAGAAATGCATCTGTGAAATATGAAAGCGTTTTAAACCTCATCGTCGGAAACTTTACCACGATATGTAAAGACGAGATCACGGTGGGTTTCCGACTATGTTTAAACTTATATTGCGTATCTGAGCTAAAACAAAAAAATAAAAATGCAAGATTAACTGTAGATTTACCGCAATCGCATCATCTCGGGTCTTTCCGTCAGACTTCGGGAAAAACAACCTCGAATGTATTACCATCACCGGATGTTAAAAATTTATACATCTTCCTGTTTATTCAAATATAGTGTATACGGAGATAGAGAAGTTCCTTCTATGGTATATTTTAGGTAATAGCATTACATTGAATAAAGTTGAACTCCATATTCCACAGATGAAAGGTCTTCATGCATTTATTTCAAAGATCGTGAAAAGGGGGAGTTGTAATGGCGTCTTCCTAGTACATTCGAGGTCGTTTTTCCGCTAGTCGGAAAGGCCCGAGAAGTTGCGATTGGATTTACCGTACATAATATTTGTTATTAACGTTCAAATTAAAACTTTTCACCGATTTTGAACGTAAGTATCCCCGCGTTTCTATAGTTAATCAGCTAAGTTCGAACTAGTCTCGTTTTCCCCAGACTCTCGCTCTCGAGACTTAGCAAAAATTAAGTCTCGAGAGCGAGAGTCTGGGGAAAACGAGACTAAGTTCGAACTCACAATCTTCCGATCACGGACTGAGCTACCATGATGGAACTAGAATTCAGGAAAAGTAGGACTATGGATCTTCATAAACAAACATTCCAAGGTAATTGTAGTGAAGGTACAGGTTTGTTCAAAACCTAGTTCCATCTAGCTCAGTCCGTGATCGGAAGTTATTGAGTTCGAACTCAGCTCGCGACTTACCCTAGTTTAAATCAAAGTACTGAAAGTACTCATGGGAGTTGAACATTGTAATCTGAAAGATCTCACAGGAAGTAGAGGAACATTTTCATGCTTTCAGATTCAAGTCAGCTAGAACTGATTTGTTAGAGATACAACACGAAACATTAAAAATAATTTCAATTGAATTTGAATAGCGAAGGTCGTGGGGCTGATTTTAAATTAGCTGCGGAACTGTAGCTCTCCGAAAAAAATATTTTGATAGACCGGAGAGCTACAGTGCCACCAATTGAAAAAACTGTATATATTTATTGCGCACAAAAAGTGCGCTGTTTCTCGATTTATTTTTCCATGTTTTTGAACTATCATATCAAAATATTACTACATGTAACATGTTCTAAAATATTCCTTCACTTTTTCCACAACAAAACATTCCTTATAATTGTTGTTAATAGCCCATCTGGCCTTGAAATTGAGATCATCTAAAATGTCGTCTATTTATGCTGCAGTTTTGGTTTGCAAGATAATTTGGTCTAACGCACTTCGTGCAAATGTCAAATATAAGAGAACTTCATAGAGGAGGAAGGAATTTTTACAAATCTGTCTTTTTCACGTTTGAGGTAAGAATTAGAAAGATTTAATCCAGAAATAAGCTCAACTTTTCGTGCGCAATAAATGTACAGTTTTTACAATGGGTGGCACTATAGCTCTCCGGTCTGTCAAAATATTTTTTTCGGAGAGCTAACATTTCTGCAGCTACATTTAGATACAGGTCAATTAGTGCAGATTTGATAGAGATACAACACCAAGCATTAGAAATAAGTTCAATTTACTTAGCACCGTTTTTGAAAGTGTGTGTGGGAAGGGGGGGGGGGGGAGGCAGAGAAAAAACAATTCAACTTACCGGATAAAGATTTGACAACAATTTGACCAAACCAAACAAACGCCCCCGACTCTTTTTTGAATGTGTACAAGATATTTGGTCCCAAACAAATAAATACTCTTTATATTCGATGTTACCATCACCAGACACTAGATTGTCATTTTTCTTCCTCTGATTAAAACAAGCATTTGCTATTCTCTTTTGGGTATGAATGGTTCTTTTCGGACACAATAATTAATTTTTATAGAATTCTGTGCTCATCTTTTTTATCAAATATATCTATCTTTATAACTTAATCATTAAGTTTTTTATTCCATAATTTCATTTCAAGTAATTTCTTTATAGAAGTAAGTATGTCTGAATACTTTACATTTTGTTTGTTTTACGTTCGATATTTTTCACTCATATTGAAACACTACAACTTACCGATGGAGCTAGCTTTTTGTAATGGAGCGTAGTGGAGTCAGCCGAGGATTGCCGATTGAAAAATGACAGAAAACTGGGACTTTTTATTTCCATTCGGAAATCAAATTTATGTGTCATTTCTCGAGAGAGATGAATAGAATATACTGAATAGTGACTGACAAAGTACTCTGAATATTCTAAATATTAAATTTTTGACCGGGCGGGGAAAGGGGGGTGAATACAAGCAAAATTTAAGCAATGCACTTTTCTCACTTGCGAAAAAGGAGGCCATGGTATTAATTTTGCATGCAGAGTGCATTCTGCATTGGCCGACACAGATTACGATGTCAAGCTGACCCTAACAAAAAAAATACTATAGTTAACTATAGTTAACTATAGTTTACTATAGTTAACTATAGTGATAACTTTGACACTTTGAAAACTTTGAAAAACTTTGACGAAAACTTTGACACTTTGAAAAACTTTGACGAAAACTTTGAAAAAACTTTGACACTTTGAAAAACTTTGGCGAAAACTTTGACACTTTGAAAAACTTTGGCGAAAACTTTGACACTTTGAAAAACTTTGGCGAAAACTTTGACACTTTGAAAAACTTTGGCGAAAACTTTGACACTTTGAAAAACTTTGGCGAAAACTTTGACACTTTGAAAAACTTTGGTGAAAACTTTGATACATTGAAAAACTTTATCGAAAACTTTGACACTTTGAAAAACTTTATCAAAAACTTTGATACTTCGAAAAACTTTATCGAAATTTTGGATACTTAAAAAAACTTAATCGAAATCTTGGATACTTCGAAAAATTTTATCGAAAACTTGGATGCTTTAAAACTTTGAAAAAGTTTATTGAAAACTTTGACACTTTAAAAAACTTTATCAAAAACTTTTATTCTTCGAGAAACTTAATTGAAAACTTTGACACTTTGAAAAACATTATCGAAGTCTCTGATACTTTGTAAAACTTAATCGAAAACTTGGATACTTTAGAAAACTTTATCAAAAAATTTAACACTTTGAAAAACTTTGTCAAAAACTTGGATACTTTAACACTTCGAAAAACTTTATCGAAAACTTTGACACTTTGAAAAACTTTATCGAAAACTTGAAAAACTTTATCGGAAACTTTGAACATTTAAAAAACTTTATGGAAAACTTGGCTACTTTAACACATAGAAAAACTTAATCGCCAACTTTGACACTTTAAAAAACTTTATCAAAAACTTTGAAAATTTAAAAACTTTATCGAAAACTTGGGATGCTTTGAAAAACTTTATCGAAAAATTTGATGCTTTGAAAAACTTTATCGAAAATTCTGATTCTTTGAAGAACTTTGGCGAAAACTTTGACACTTTGAAAAACTTTGGTGAAAACTTTGACACTTTGAAAAACTTTGGTGAAAACTTTGACACTTTGAAAAACTTTGACAAAAACTTTGACACTTTAAAAAAATTTGGCGAAAACTTTGACACTTTGAAAAACTTTGGCGAAAACTTTGACACTTTGAAAAACTTTGGCGAAAACTTTGACACTTTGAAAAACTTTGGCGAAAACTTTGACACTTTGAAAAACTTTGGCGAAAACTTTGACACTTTGAAAAACT